ACACGTCCCGCCCACTTGAACTATTCAAGAAGAGCGTTAGTGTTTACCAATTGGCAGCAAGGAAATTATGTCGCTGACTAATGACCATAGAATTGGTACGGTGAATGTAAGATATTATAGTATTTGATGATTATTTTTTGCGCGTATATTATTAACAATCACGTTTATGTTTTCGGTAAGTTATAGAGATAAACACTTTAAAATAATTTGATGTCAGTTGAACTGGATATTGCAGCTAATCGGGTAAAGTATATATTATTGTTATTGGCTAAATTGTTCTTTTTACCGATTTATCGCCTTCTTTTAGAATGAGTTTCCGTCTTTATTGTTCATCAGTTTTCGCAGTGTGTATTTTGTGTATATTTTCTTTTGTTTTTCAAGATCTCCTTGCACTTTGGAAATATCTAATGGGTTTACATATTTCCTAAGTCTCAAGCACGTTGTATCCATCAAATAGTATAATTCAAAAATGTTAGTTTTTTTGTTGGCCTTTCAAATTTACATTATATACCTGACTTTGAAAAGGTTAAATATAAATTAAAAATAAGTTTTTAAGAAATCTCGGCGTTTTACTTTGATGCCTTGCACTGCGTTTATGCTCTTCGCTATTCGTCTTTTCGATTGATAACTACTTCTTGCTCACTCTCACCTATTCACTTTCTCACTCTTACATACAGAAACAAATTACTTGGTGCACCGTTCGATTTCCACTTTATATACTATGATTTCAAAGCGCTGCACATAAGTAATAACACTAAGACCTCAAAAAAGAATCACAATAAGGTGGAGCAGAACGCTCACCAAATTGATCCTCCCTTTCATCGTTCATCGTTTTTTACATAATATCATTCAACTAATTACATGCGAATAAATTTATAGTTTACACTGTTTTTGTTTTTTCTCCACATATTCGTTGGCCTGTGCCTTCCTCAAATTCGCCGGGAAATTCTAAAAATTGCATTATTTCACCAACAGATGACACTAATAATATGCGGCGAATTCCGCGCAATTGCAAAACTAAATACACTGCAAAACCACATTAAGCTCACTAGCTGTCGCCCACGAACCCATTTATATACACGTGTGAGTGAACGGGATGGTCACATATGCGGTAAGGTCTTTTGGTAAAATTAAATGATAAATTTTTGCTCGTATAGAGTACATGCAATATATCCACGACATGAAAATTATTTTATACAAAATCTTATATTCACCACTAAATTATGCCACCGATTAAAAACACCATTTTTATATTAAATCATTCTTTCTTCAACATCTATTTGTGAATATATATTGCGAAGAGCACAATACTTTTTCTACGCTGGTGCTGCTTCCTACTTGTTCCCTTTTTGCGAATAGCTACAATCGAAAGCTAAGAAAATTAACTTTTGCCGCCGCAATTTCTCGTCGTACACATTTTCATTCACTACACACACAACTTTTACCATTTTTTAATGCGCAAAGCGCATCTTTGTTATAGTTTATATTTTTTTACGAGAAATCCGATAAATTCACACCGTAGAAATTGCTTTTCTTCAATTTCTTTTATATTTACAAGACGTCGTCGCCATTATTAATTTTTCGACACTCCATTTTTACTTCGCCTTAGCCACTTCTTCGCTGCACTTGTCATTCCTTCAATAAGCCGCCAGATGGCTAATCCGACACTCTTAAACTGATTGCATTATTGTGAATGAAAGCAATCAGTGATGTGGTTATTATCGTCTCAATCATCTCTCGTAACAGCAAGTAGAAATATACAAGAAAACAATTTTTTATCAGATTAAAACCGCAAATAGAATATTGGTATTTCGATTCGATACATATATTCCCTTAATGAACATTATGAAGTATGTTTGCCACAAAAACCTTAATTTAAAATAAATTGATGAAAATACTAAATTTGGTAAAAACATATTAGAAGATAAGTTTCGCCTAAAATTTGATAAAGTTCTGATAATGAAGAAATAATTAATATCCACAGTATTATATATTAACTACAAAAAAAATTTAAATAAAGAATGACTGGGTCTTTAAATACATTTAAAATAATAAATTCAACTGATTATATTGACTACTTATGGTGTAGTGAAAATTTATTAGCTAAGTAAAGCAATTTATAATTTTGGAAACATCAGTACCAATTGCATCTCTAGGTATATTGTGGGGTGTATTGTGATTTTGACAATTAGTTAAATAGAATAGAATGAAAACCATGGTGAATAGTAATGTGAAAATTTCTAAAATTTTTAGCGCTTGCTAGACATTTATACTATACTCGATTACGCTCTGGTAAAACTGCTCAAATTTTTACAGCCTTAAAATAATCTGCCAAATTATCAAGTACTTTCTAACAATAACCATTTTGGAGAAAAACATAACAAAATTAAAAGTTTCTTAGTCACTATAAAAACAACAAGATAAGAAAGCAAGCGAGAAAAGTCACCAATATCATTAAACGTAGAAGGGGTGTGGGGTTGAATGGCTCATGTAATTTTCCAATTTCTCAAAAACAAAGGAATATTAAGAAAGTGTTCTTGGGACATTGGAGAAATTGGCGAAGATAGACGCGAGGAGAGCGGTGGAAACAACAAACGTAGGGCGACCATCGACAATTAAAAAGAGGGTTGGAGTTTAAGAAGCAATTGTAGCTTCATCAGTCCAACGGAAACGATGTCAACAACTTCTCCAAATTCTGGAAATAGTAGTAGTAGCAACAACAACTCTACAAAAGCGACAAAACAAAGTCAACTTGACGTCGGCGACTCATACAGTGACAGCAGTAGTATTGAAGAAAATCTTGAAGCTGAGGAACGACGTCGTAGAATTTTGAAAAATAGAAATAGGTAAGATATAGTAAAAAAAATTATATTTTTTCTACATATTTCTTGAATTATTTATTGGTTCCTGTAGGAGCAGCGGGTATTTACAACGCAACATTTGTAGTAAATCACAGCCCCATCATCAGCTGACACAACAGAGAATCATTATGAATGCGGCAAGTGGTGCTATTCCGAAACATGACAAGACGGCCACAACAGGCGCTGTTTTATCTAATAATCCTGGAAGTGGAGCTATAATGCGTCCCGGGGATCGTATCGCATTATTAGTGGACAATGTCCGTTTCGTCATTGAACAAGCTTTGGTAACTGCACATCCAAACACCATGTTAGGAACAATGTTCAGTTCAGGCTTTCAATTTGTCCATCCTAATGAACGCGGCGAATACGAAGTAGCTGAAGGGATTTCACACACAGTTTTCCGTGCTATTTTGGAGTACTATAAAACTGGAATAATTCGCTGTCCTCCAACTGTATCTGTACCAGAACTAAAAGAGGCGTGTGATTATTTACTGATACCATTTGATGCGACCACAGTTCGATGCCAGAATTTACGTGAGTTTTTTCAAAGTCTATCTATATATACAAAACAGTTAAAGATTAAGGAAACGATATTATTTTATTATAAGATTTAGAACACCATTACTCATAAAAATCTGTACCAAATTAGTGTTTTTTAGTAGCATTCTTCTCTCTCCCTCTTTCTCGTTGTTCTTTCGACTTTTTAATACGTACTTATTTCCCCTTCCCCCATATACGTTTATATGTTCGCACGTATGTATTGTCGTCTAAAAGGAGGTTTACTACATGAACTCAGCAACGAAGGTGCCCGCCAACAATTCGAAGTTTTTCTTGAAGATCTAATACTGCCCTTAATGGTTGCGTCAGCTCAACGTGGTGACCGAGAGTGTCATGTTGTAGTTTTATTAGACGACGACGTTGTAGACTGGGATGAAGAATTTCCTCCTCAAATGGGTGAAGAATACTGCCAAAGTACGTAATTAAGAAATATTTAATATTTCTATTACCAGCTTAGAATATGTATAATTTCAGCTGTGCACAGCACCGCTATGCATCGATTTTTTAAATACATTGAGAATCGTGACGTTGCCAAGCAAGTAATGAAAGATCGTGGATTAAAGAAAATACGTTGCGGAATCGAAGGATATCCAACGCACAAAGAAAAAATTCGTCGAAGACCAGGTGGTAGAGCAGAAGTAATTTACAGCTACGTACAACGTCCTTTTATACACATGTCTTGGGAGAAGGAGGAAGCCAAAAGTCGTCACGTTGACTTTCAATGCGTTAAATCAAAATCAGTAACAAATTTGGCCGAGGCTAATGCAGATCCTCCTTTAGAACTCGACGCAAGTAATATACACAATTATTAATAAAATGTACTCATTTAAAAGAAAACAATTCATATATAACTTAGGTGGCAATCCAATAAGGCCTCCAGAAGTGAATATTAATGCTGAGGCACGTGTACCTTTCGTTCCTGAAGTTGAAGTGGCCGGCGGTGGATGCATTGGTGCACCTGTCGCAGTAGCCGTTGACGAAGCGGCAGGTGGAGTAATAATGCTTAACGAACTTGAACAGGCCTCTGGTGGAACTATCGAAGAGTCCATCTAAATTCACTTGTCCTAAACACATAAAACTTAGCATTTGTGAGAACTCATTTATGATATACTATATAGACGTCTGTATTTACTCACTGATTCTTCATATGTATAACCAATGCAACTATGATATTAATATACGTTTTCTATTTACTAAAAATCGATTTATTTTTTATTTTTCATTTCATAAACATGTCAATTTAAAACTAAAACAAGAAAAAACGTTAACGAAGCTAAATACCCTTCACAGGTGCATTTATGTGTTCAGTTTGTATGGAAGCTATATACTATTATATAATTATCCGATATGAACAAATTTTTCGAAGACCGTTCAGTTTGTACGGCAGCTATATGTTATAGTAGTTCGATATCGGTAGTTCCGATAAATGAGCAGCTTCTTGAAGAGAAAATGACGTTTGCAAAGTTTCAAAACAATATTTTAAAAACTAACGGACTAGTTCGTATATATACTGACAGACGGACAGACAGACAGCTCGACATACTGATCATTTATATATAGTATACTTCATAGGGTCTCCGACCCTTTCTTCTGGGTGTTACAAACTTCGTGACAAAGTTAATATGCCCTATTCAGGTTATAAAAATTATTCACTATCCGAAACTTAGAAGTCGAGTTTCGAAGCTTCGGTCAATGTTGAAGTATCCCAATTCATACAACGTTCCACAGCCATTTTCCACTTTTTGTAACGCATATTTCTTTCGTGACTTCCAATAGTTGGTTTAAAAGTGGTCATTTGGCCTGAGCTGCCAGCAAGCGGTGCAGTGATGTCAAAGCTAGGTTCTACAACCATATAAGATGCCAAAGCCGCACCCTAAATATAGTAAATACATTTTAAAATCTATATAAAACACATTTCTTTCTTAAACACACCAAAGCAGTTGTTTCTTGCATTTTAGCGCGAACCACACTAATGCCTACCAGATCGGCTTGCAATTGTAAAAATAAATTATTCGCGGTCATACCACCATCAACCATTAATTTCGTCATTGGTATGCCGCAGTCTTTACGCATTGATTCTAAAATGTCTCGTACTTGAAAGCAGATAGCTTCAAGAGTAGCACGTACAATATGTTCACTGGTTGTTTCTTCACTCAAACCACAAATGGCACTGAAATAAAGTGTATCCAATGCATTTATAGTATATTACATCCAAGAATGAGTGTAAAGGACTTACCCGCGAGCCTCTTGATTCCAATATGGTGCATATAGTCCACTGAATGCCGGAACAAAATAAACATCTAAAGAGTTATCGACTTTGCTGGCCATCTCTTCAACTTGACTAACCGAATCGAATAATTCCAAATTATTTTTCATCCAATTTATGGCGGCGCCAGCAATTGCAACACTACCTTCTAATGCATACATTAGCGGTGCTCGTGGTCCCAATTGATAACCGACTGTTGTTAATAAACCATGCTTAGATTGCACTATTGATGTTCCCGTATTATAGAGAAGAAAACATCCCGTTCCATACGTGGATTTTGCAAGCCCATGGCTCAAACATTGTTGGCCTACAAGTGCCGCCTGTTGATCTCCTAAACATGACGTAATGGGGACACCTTTTAAAATGCTAACCGTTACATCACCATAATGCTCTGCACTTGAACGTATCTGTGGTAACATAGAAAGTGGTAAGCCAAAAAACCGCAACAGATGTGGGTCCCATCTTAACGTCTCTATGTTCATTAGCATGGTACGAGAAGCATTTGTCACATCAGTCAGGTGAACCCCTCCATTAGGACCTCCTGTCAATTTATAAATCAACCAAGTATCAACTGTCCCAACTTGACAGGTATTGGCTTCCATCGCCCTTTGAACTTCTCCAACATGGTCGCGCATCCAACGCATTTTCAACGCAGAGAAATACGGGGAAAGGGGGAGACCACATAGCGGTTTTAAATAATTTATATTACGTGATTTGTTTGGTATTGTCTCAACTAGTTCATCAACCGTACTAGATGTGCGATTATCCAGCCAAATAATGGCATTATGTAATGGTCTACCCGTCTCCCGATCCCAAACAATTGTTGATTCTCTTTGGTTAGTAATACCTATAGCAACGATGTCCTTGAAATATATAGCATGGAAGTATTTTTATTAAATTAATGCATTAAATGTACATTTTGAAATTATAACATAAGACAAATTCATATAATTGTAATAAAGAGTTTAAAGAAAATTTGTTTTGCAAAAAATATGTGTATGCATACATACATACATATGTACATGTGTATACAACTGTTCGCAGACAGAAAATTAGTAGAGTATATTTGGAGGCGGCATACATACATACATACATACTTCTTATAGAAAAACATTTTTAAAACATTACCATCATTAAAACATTATCATCTTATCCATCTTATTAAAGGCAAACATGCATATATCATTGCCTTTAAAATATTTGTGCATAATATACATTTTCTTATTACAATTAAAGTAAAATACAATTAAATTCGAATATTTATTTTTAATTAAACTGATTCTCATCAGAATAAATTTATTTTTGACTATGGAAATAAAAATATCAACCCTGGCCCAATGGTGAAATAACAACACAGATGGTGAGTAACTTACTTTTCACTCAATTAAATTGATTTTTTTTGCACAAATAGAAATAGACGAAATGAGACAATAAAAGCAGAAACCACAGTATATACTGTGACCAAGTTTTGAAAAGTGGCCTTATCAATGCTTTTCTTTCAAAGACTAACGCGATTTGTAGGTGGAACTGTTCCTTCAAACTATTTTGGCTTTGCCAATATTTCATCAAAAATGTCCTCCAACCAAGCATCCAAGGTTATTGCTATCGGGCAGATGTGTGCCACAAGCAATAAAGCTAACAATATGAAACAAGTTGAAGAATTATTTTGCAAAGCGAAAACACAAAATGCGACATTTTTATTTCTGCCAGAATGCTGTGACTTCGTTGGGGAACACCGAAAACAAACATTGGAGTTGTCAGAACCTTTGGAAGGTGCAATTATGGCTCAGTATAAAGAATTGGCTAAAACAAATAAAATGTGGGTATCACTGGGTGGTATTCATGAGTCTATACTCGACACAAACAATGATAAAACCGATAAAATATATAATACACATGTAATTGTTAATGATTTTGGTGAAGTTGTGAGCGTCTATCGAAAGTTACATCTATTCGATGTGGAAACAGAGGAAATGCGTTTTCGTGAATCAGATGTAGTGACACCAGGTTCCCATCTGGTATTCCCAGCCAACACCCCTATAGGTTTATTGGGCATGCAAATATGTTATGATCTACGATTTAGTGAAGCTAGTTCTATTTTACGCAAATTTGGAGCCCAAATACTCACGTATCCATCGGCATTTGCTTACTCGACGGGTAAAGCTCATTGGGAGGTATTATTACGAGCGCGTGCCATTGAAAATCAATGCTATGTTATTGCCGCAGCTCAAATTGGTGCACACAACAGTAAGCGTACCAGTTGGGGTCATGCTCTAATTGTTGACCCCTGGGGAAAAGTGTTGGCGAATTGTGAGGAAAACGATTTATCGATCGCAACAGCAGAAATTGATTTAACCAAAAATCATTTTGTGCAAAAGAGCATGCCAGTAATGCAACATAAGCGTAATGATGTTTACTCGCTAAATTCCTTTGGAATGGGAACAATAGATATTACTCAAGATCATTATTTTGCCAATAATATTATTAAGAAGGAAACTATATTTTACGAAACCGAGCATTGTTTTGCATTTACTAATCTACGCTGCGTTGTAGAGGGCCATGTATTGGTTTCAACAAAGCGAGTGACTCAGCGTCTGGATAGTTTGTTGTGTCACGAAATTTGTGATCTCTTCTCAACAGTTTGTAAGGTGCAAAGAATGCTTGAGAATTTTTATAAAACAACTTCTGCAACAGTCACCGTTCAGGATGGTCCCGATGCCGGTCAAACAGTACCGCATGTACATTTCCACATTCTGCCTCGCCGTCCACGCGACTTTAAGGAAAACGACCATATTTATACTAGAATGGACGACCGATGTTTGGACCAACCTGATCGCTCACTCGAGGATCGTATAATTGAAGCTCAAAAGTACCGCAGCTTCATGAATAGACAATAAATTTATATTTTTGTAAAATAGGGATGGGTTATGAAATGTTAAATGTAAAAATTGTTATTTATTTGTATTTATGTATGTAAATATATATAACTAAATAAATAAAAAATATTTTTTTTTTCCTTAAATAATAAAAATAATATCGTGTTAAAGAATTTAGTACATAGTAAATATATAGTAAGTATATTACAAATTCCACAATTTACCTCTACCGAACCTCCCAGTTTCTGGAGTTTCTTTACGGCCTCCTCAATGCACTCAATTACCACATTATATATAACAATAGGATCTTGTTCCACCCATCCTTCCTACAACAATTAATAATAATTTACCAATATTGCAAATAAGCGTTTTTTAATCCAAACCTGCGGATAAATAGATGGTACGGGAATTTGGTGATAGCAAACAACCTTGTTGGTACCGGCTCGAAAAATCATGAAACGGGCTGATGTTGTTCCTTCATCAATGGATCCCACTAATTTTCCAAGAGACATATTATTCAAATTTATTTTTCTGTTGACAAAAAAGGCGACTTCTTTATTTTCGTGCTGTGTGGTTTTTAATGTTTCCACCCTTGAACTTTGATATTTACGCCGATAATAGCAGATTAATATTACTTTTATTGAAAAGTTCTTGACAACAAATATCCCACTATAAGAGAATTTGTATAATCTGCGTAAACATATGTATAAACAAGCTTTTTACCAAAAAGTTATTATTTATTTATTTGCTATTTATCACTGTTATCGTTGTTTATCTTTTTCCGGTTTTGCATATAAATTTATGACACAAGAAACTGATAAGAATTGAACACGGTCGCATTTATAAGCATTGTACTGCAAAATTACTCAACGTACATATATGTGTATTATAATATTATATGATAGCCTCTGAAGCTAGCGCTGCATGGTTTAGGTTGTACATATGTTATTAACATTAACATTCTATAAGCTTTTATAAATAAAAAAAAAAAAATTATATGATTGAGTTTTATTTGTTTACTTTTGTATGAACTCTTCAATATTCTGCATTTTTTAGACCCGTACCTTACAAAGTCAAGATGATGTCAATTTCTTCATTCAAATTATATTATTAATTCAAATCAAGAATTTTAAGTTTTTTCCATGATGACGGCGTCTTGAAACTATTATTGATTAGCAAGTTGCTTGTAGGTCACATCACGGCTTTCGATTTCCATAAATTTTTACAAATAGTTCATGTGAAAAACTTGAAAGCAAGTTCCTGAATAATGCAACTGCAGCGAATGTGCTTGCTGTGAAAAGTTTTATTCTTGTTAAAATGGTACACTGTATTTCTGGTATCAATCGCAGCTAAGTTCGTTTAAAGCATTGCAATATTTTATTAGCAAATATTGGTATGGAAAAATATTTTACAAGAAATTGTAGGATTTATTTACATAGCGTGCAAGGACATTATTTATATTGACAAAAGCCAATTGGCTAGCTAAATTCTTGAGTGATTCCCATAAAAATATATCCATGTCTAGCGAAGATCAAAGGTAAATAGCTATGAAAAATACATTTGAGGTTATGACTCCTCCGTGTTTAATATAACAAAAGTGTGTATAATAAAAGTTTTGTCTTCACAGTTATGACTCTAGTGATTCAACTACGGGAAAACGTTTCAAATATGCTTCGGGCTCGCACAAAAAATCTAAAAAGGAAAAGAAACATAGGAAAACAAGTAAAAGTGAAAAGTCCCATAGGAAGCACAAGAAGTCAAAGAAAAGACACCACAAGCACAGCGAGTCATCAGTTTCTGAAGATACCGGTGACAAACACCGTAGCGGCGCTCTTAATGAAAAGTTCACAGAAATAATGCACAAAGTCAACAAAGATGTCAATCCACGAGGTGATCAGCAAGCAAATGGAGGTGGGTTCAGCATAACAAAGACAAATCTTCCAACTGACCCCGGAAGTCTGGTAGAAGAGATTACCAAGACCATTCAAAATAATATTTATCCTACTATGGAAGTAGCATCATCCGGCAGTGAAAGTGAAATGTAAGTTATGTGTCTTTAATGTCAAAATATATGTGTTATTGACTTTCTTATTTCGCTGAATACAGTCAAAATGATGTAGCTAGTCCAGATGTTGCTATCATAGAAGACGAACTCAATCTCGAAGAATTAATGAAACAGAAGGCTTTACTTCAAGCTCGTTTAGGTGCATATTTATCAGAGTCCGATAGCGAAGATAGTCTCTCCAATGAAGTTCCAATCATAAACCGCGGTATTTATAAAGAAACGGCAGAGGGAACTACATGCGATGAAAAAATTAGTATTAACAGCAAACAGCCAGTCAAAACGCGTTCATTGTCAGCTTCATCGTCAATCAGTAAAAATGTTATTAGTAAACACAGTAAAAAATATATTTCAAATGAACCTGATGTTATATTATTGGATGATTCTAGCGGAGGACATCGTACTCCTGAATCTAAGCGCAAGTCATCCCGTCCTTATGTTACTAGTAAGGATGAGCGTATACCATCACCTCGCAGAAAGTCGTTAGGTGACCATTACCAACACCATCGTCATGCTCACCAGGAGTTGCAGGAAACGCGTGTACCTAGTTCACGAGATCGACATCCACATATTGGCAAACGGAGCCGCAGTCGATCGCTGCGTAGAGAATCGGAGACAAATATTCATCGACGTCGTGACGAAAGCCACAATCGTGGCCGGCTTCGGCGTGATATACATGATCAAAACAGAAACAAAGAAGATCTTCGACTTGAAATAAATCGCGATAAACAACGCGAACGTGAAAATAGCCGTGATCGTGATCGCCGTGGGCGAGATGATCGAATTAGGCAGCAAGAGCGTAGTGGTGGAGACTGTTACGGTAACTCTCGTGGCCGAGAGCGTGAACGTGATCGAGACCGTAGAATGCGTTCCCATAGCCGCAGTAAATTAGAATCGGATCGGCGACGGGTGGAACGAGAGCGTCAACGCGATGGAAAATCCGAACGAGACAGCTGGAGAGGTGAAGATCGTGGTCGAGAGCGTGACAAGGATCGCTACCGTGGATCGCTCAGTGAAGGTCAAAAAGCTGAAATCAAAGACACAAGTAGTGATGATGGCGACAACTTAGATATTGACATTAACGAAGATGAAGAAGAAGAGGAGAAAATTATAGAGATGAGAAGAAAGCAGCGCGAAGAGTTGTTAAAGGTAATATAAATTAAATGTATTAAAGCATATAAAGATAATTTTTCTTTGTATTATTAGAAACTTGGTGGTAAAAAGGAGGCATCACCACCAAAAAATTTCACACATTCTCAAAGGAATCGCAGTCCACCTATCAAATATGATTTAGAAGACCCTGCGCCGTTGATACAAAACACTCCAACAAAGATTTCAGTTGAAGAGCCCAGCCATGCGGAGGTTAAGGACATGGACGAAGATAAAAAAATAAAAAATTCTACAAAAGAAAAACGACCCGAGTGGGATATGTTTGCAGATCAAGATGTGGACTCTAATTTCGATGTGAGTCGATTGCTTGTAACTGTCTTCATTTCAGCTTAAATCAATTGGAATTTTTATTTAAAAAAATTTCTTATTCAGTCTCCTAATACAATAGTGTTGAATAAAACGCAAATTGAAAATCCTGCATTGACTGACAATTGGGACGATGCCGAAGGATACTATCGTGTGCGCATTGGAGAAATTCTGGACAACCGTTATGTTGTTAGTGGGTACACTGGACAAGGTGTATTCAGTAACGTAGTAAGAGCTCGTGATCAAGCGCGTGGAAATGCCAACGTAGCTGTAAAAATTATACGTAACAACGAAATAATGTAAGAAAATATATAATTTTAAATTTCTTTTATGGAACCAATTATTTTAGGCACAAAACTGGTCTGCGTGAATTGGAGATTCTGAAGAAGTTAAATGATGCTGATCCCGAAGATAGATTCCATTGCTTACGACTTTTCCGACATTTTTTTCACAAACAGGTTAGAATCAATCGCGTACATTGAAAAAAATAAATAAATGAATTAATATTTTTGTCCTTCAATTTAGCATCTATGTATGGTATTTGAACCACTATCTATGAACCTGCGAGAAGTGCTTAAAAAATATGGCAAAAATGTAGGTTTACACATCAAAGCGGTGCGGAGCTATACTCAACAATTGTTTTTGGCTCTTAAGCTGCTCAAAAAGACGGGCATACTCCATGCAGATATTAAGCCCGACAACATTTTAGTGAATGAGAATAATTTGTGTTTGAAGCTTTGTGATTTTGGTTCAGCATCAACTATTAACGACAACGAAATTACACCATATTTGATATCGCGCTTTTATCGAGCACCCGAAATAATATTGGGCATCACATATGATTATGGCATTGACATGTGGTCTGCGGGTTGTACAATATATGAGTTATACACGGGTAAAATACTCTTTAGTGGAAAGAGTAACAACCAAATGCTGAAATTTTTCATGGACTTAAAAGGTAATACTATTAAGAAATTTGTTTCCATCAGGTTTGCAAATAATGCATTAATTTAATTTCTAAATCAAGCGACACGTTCCATAAATAATTGTCAAAAAAAACTATAAATGTTTTCAAAATTATTGATTCCAGGAAAAATACCAAATCGAATTATTCGAAAGGGTCAATTCAAAGAACAACATTTTGATCAGAGCTGCAACTTCCTTTACCATGAAATTGACAAAATCACAGAACGGGTAATTATTTTATTCGTAAACGTAAATGCATTTTTTTTACTTTACTAAAAATATTATTTTTTGTAGGAAAAAATCGTTGTAATGCCTGTAATAAAAGCCACCCGAAATTTGCAACAAGAACTTATTGCTGACCAGAATTTACCAGATGAGCAACAACGTAAAGTAACGCAACTAAAAGATCTATTAGATAATATGTTTGCGCTTGATCCATCAAAACGGATTTCCTTGAATCAAGCACTCACGCATCCTTTCATTCAAGAAAAGATGTAGGCGGCGTTTTAAATAGTAATGGTTTTGATGCTATTTGAACCGATATGCGAAATAATAAGGGACGCCATTACACCAGGCATACACACAATGTAATTCTTTCCTCCTATGCTGCTAGTAATGTATTTTATGATACATGCTGGCAGTTTTAGTGTTTATAAATTAAGTATTATACAATTATTTATACATAATTTATATAATATATCTTCTACAAATGTTTTATGTTCACAAATGTAGTGTACAAGCAGGTATTAGAGAAGGATGACAGAACTGAACACACTGAATTGCGGTTTAATATTAATTAAGTTTCATTTAGAAATATCTGCTAGTTTGAGAAGTAATTAAGAATTATTTTTTGCCAAAGTACAAAACCAATGGATTCTGTCAGCTCATGTCAACTAGTAGAGTTCTAAGTTTGACCTACATAAAATAACCTGCACTGTTATATAAATTGGAATGTAAATCGAATTGAAATCAATAATTTAATTTGATTAATATGTCTAAACATCATGATAATATGCAAATCCAGGAGTTTTAGTATCATATTAAACGGTCTTAGTTAATATTTCAAATATTGCAAGATGTTTTAATTTTTGTTAAAATCAACTTATGCATATAATTTTCTATAATATTTTGATTTACCATGCATTACAATTAATTTACTTTTCTATGAATCCAGCAAATTTCTTCATTTCTTTTAAAAATCGCAAATTGAAAGTTGTAATAAGAAATGTTTATTTTTACATATGGTAACTATCTATGGAATTAAATATAATCGAAATACATATGTGCAAAGATGGTGCACAATGTACGTGAAAGTAAAATGACTCTATTCCAGTTTGAAACATGTTCATAAGTGGAGGAGTTTTAAAAAATTAGTTTTTTTTTTCTTTGTCGTACTATTAGAGATATCTAAATATATACATTTGTATATAAATTAAATTTTGTTTTCCTTTCGAAAGCAATACTCAATTTTAACTTAAAAAAGGATGAAAGTGTTCTCAAAAATAACAAAATCGTACTTAAAAACATGTATAAATAGAGGTTCTCCCGCATGTATTAATACCAGTACTATAATTTATTTATGTCCAAACAATGCTATAGTATTTAATTTAATTTCAGAATTGGTCGCTGTGCAACGCATAAGCGTAGGCGTGCTGATGCCTATCACCACATTTTGCGACGAACGAGAGTACTGCATGTTTTGTGTTAATTGCGCTGGTAATAATAATTTGGGATTGAAGCAATACTTATTTTGATAAGATGAAACTAAATTTAAATTTCGTAAAAATCTCCATTTCGGAGCAGCGTGAGAATAGATTTGCTTGCACGGATCACATCCCAAATCATTTTCGACGCCATGTGATTGCAATGGAGATGTAAACGAAATTATGAACTTTAAAAAATGTACACTGCATTTTTACCTAAAGCAAATTTTGTTTCTCTTAATTTTTCAGACGGCTGTTATACAGCGATGTTAAATGCTTTAACTAAAGTCTGTGTAAAAATTAAATTTATTTCATCGGCAGTAAGTTCAGCATTTTGTAAGGTCAAACGAAACCAAATTGTTTTAAGAAATTATTTACATTTTTTTAAGGAAAGGAAAGGATACATTGCCGTTTTCAAAAAACCTAACTGCTGAGCTCGTACGTTTGGAGGAGCTGAGGAATTGGATTGAATGAAAACTGCAAGATAAAAGTACAGAAATTAAGGTAATTTGTTGGACAAGAAAAGCGATGCAAATATTTTATTATTTTTAATGTAAACAAGAAAAAACTTTTACTTCGGCTGCACTGAAGCAAGAGATAACTTCACATATAAAAAAAATCCATATAAGATTATATACTAAATTTTGATCGATCAGTTTGTATGACAGCTAAATGGTCCGATTTGAATAATTTTCTCGGAGACTGTACCATTGCTTTAAAAAATATTCCAAAAAAAAATTCATGAAGCCAGATTTTCAAGTAAAAAAGTTTTTCTTACATGATATTGAGGGTTCAGTTTATATTACAGCTATATGCTATAGTGTCCGATATTCCCGGTTCCAGAAAATGAGTAACTTCTTGGCAATAAAATATGTGTGCAAAATTTCAAATAGATATCTCAGAAGTAAGGGTATGGCTAAATCCCTTAGGATCATTTATATATATATTTATACTAGGTTGTCAAAAAAGTCTTACGGTATTTTTTATTGGATTTTCAATTGTTCATAAAATTTTTTTGGATGACTCATGCCCAGCTCTTGACCGATGCTACGGCTGCTACTATGCCGGTCTCTTTCGACTAATTCAGCGATTTTATCGCAATTTTCGACGACAGGTCTTCCGGAGCGTGGCGCTTCTTCGACCTCTGAACCCCCCAGAACGAAAACGTTGAAACCATGCCTTTGTCGTAGTAGTACTGTAAAATATGCCGTATTTTTTTTTTATTTTTCCATATCCATGTTGGCGACGCTATAACTCACGAACGACTTAAAAGAAACAGTCAATCAAACACCTGTTAGCGCGTGAAATGAGCTTTCCAAAAAGGTATAGCATGACCCGATGCGACGAATAAAACTAGAATTCTGCCGTTACAACAACAACAACAACAACGAATAAAACTAGAACTACGTGCTCTCAGCGCTCTTTTTTTTTTTTTATAAGGTCTTCAACGTTTCTTCTTTTTGAGTTTGCCTTAGTGACAAACTTAATGTACACAGCTCAGGGTATAAAACGTGTATAATTGAGTTGTGCATCCAGAAATCAGCAAATATTTAGATAAAAAGTGTTTTTATATTATACACATAATTCCTGTCACACATTTATTTCTTTTTTATCAATCAATACTTTTATATAGTCTTCGCTTTTCTTGCCGCCGACACTATAACTTTCGAAATATTTAAAAACTTTTTTTATAAACAAATAAATACAAATGAAATTAGACTATTTTAATAAATATTTCTAATAATTCCAAAAAATAATTATAATAGTGATGTTATATGTATATATCCTACGTAATTTCACCTTCCGGTGTCGGCAAGCAAAGTGCTTCTTTGAGTGTTTCACTTTCGCATAATCTAGGCATTGATGCGGCTATCTGACTGCGTAAAATGCATTGCATTGTTTTCACTTTCCAATTGTTCTCAGCAAATGGATCACGGAGCAGTCCAAATGTACACTCAAATACCCCAACGCAATTTGGTTCAATGTGAAGCGTACCACATGCCAGTACCAACACTAAGCCATGCACATTCATTCGTCCTTGAACGCCAGCATGTGTAAGATTCGGATTGAAGAAGAAACCGAATTGTTCTTTTGATTTTTGAAGATTTGAGATAACTTCACTATCACCAGCACATTCGTAATCATTAATTTGATCCGTAGCTGCTATACGCAGTTTGAGCGTTGCATCTGTCCAAAAATCTTCGACTTTCAATTCTCTCATATTAAGATTGTTAAAAAACCATTCTGTAAATTTGCGAGCCAGCAAGTGAATGGGGTAGGGAGCCTCTTTGTTATTACAATCGTGAACTGTAGAATCGACCTGACTGTAAAAATATTTTTCTTCTGATGAAGTCGTTTGATTATCAACACTATCATTATAATTAGTTATGTGTTCATTTTTGGTTTGGAAAGTATTCCAATATTTTATAATTTTTGTAATTAGTGCGCCCTTGGTGAAGTCTGCATTAACTTGAATTTTTCTGTGATGTAGATATTTAAATAGCATTTCTCGAGTTATGGCTCGTTTGTTAAGCAAGGTTAGAGTATCGCCAATTTGTATATATACATAGTCAAGTGCTTCTGTAGATGAAAAGTGATGGGATTTACTAAATTATGACTAATTTGTTTATGTACTATACCTTGCACTGTTGCAACGTCGCATATATTTTTTGTGACTGATCTCGCCACTTGTAACAATGCAGGTACATTCTGCTCCTCGTTTACTAAAAAGTCCACAATACCTAATTTTTCCCGCTCGGTGATTGGCATGACTTTCTAATATTGATATTTATTTTTATTTTATCCACAGCATTATGGCAAAAATGTAAACAAATGAATCAGCTGTTTACTAACTAACCAGGGCTGCATGAAATATAGAAAAATATTTTGCGCCGTAATGTCAGACGAATGAATTTTTTCGTAAATTCTAATAACTGTTAAAATTGAAAAATAAAACTTAAATATTACAAACTAAAAATGTTAACAGTTAATATATAACAAACTTTTATTTTAACAACTGCTATAATTAACCACATAAACGTAGCAATATTTTATATCACTATCGGTAACATTTTATTGTTTGACAGTTGTTACTGTCAATTTAATTGAAGCAATCTTCAATTTAGTTTGTGCAACTTTTGGTTGAGAATATAATTTTTTATTCAGATTATCATTGTGCAATAAATTTGAATAAATGAAAATGCGTTTAGTCGAGAAAAATGAAGAACGAGCTTTTATCATCGATTGTCTTAAAGTATACAAGTCTCTTCCAGCGTTATGGGACGCCAAATCTCCAGAATACCGCAAGAAAGATAAAAAGAATGAAGCTTATGACATTTTAGTTCGTAAATTTCGAGAGAAGTATGCAAACATAAATCGGAAAGATGTGACCAAAAAAATTAATACGCTCCGAACCAATTTTCGCAAAGAAGTAAAACGTCTTTCACAAGAAAGACGTGATGTGTCAAAATTATGGTACTTTGACGACATGAAATTTCTAATAGACCATATAGAAACGAAAGAAGAGGTAAGCTACCAACAATATCTGTATGAAACAAAACTACATATAAATATGTATGTATATTGTAATAGAATTTTCATATTATGTACGAGGACGGCGAACCGTTAAATATAGAAATCATTGATGAATCTTCTACACTTCCCGACAAAAGTATTAAACTCAATAAAAGTGAATATGGAATGCCGTCGAGCGCTGGGAACATTTCTCATACTCGATCATTAGGGGAGTATGAACTTAAGTTGGCCGAAACTTGGGCTATGGAACTGCAAAAGATGACGCCCGAACAACAGATTTACGCTAAGAAAGCAATTAATGACATAATTTATGAAGGCCAGCTTGGAAACCTATACCGAGATTGTGTACAAATTTACCCGCCATGAATAAGAATGAGAAAACTTGTATAACCTTGAGTTGTATTCAATAGTCCTTAATACTAAGGTTAAATCTCTAAAATATATATGTTAATTTTCTATCACTCGTTGATTCATTCCGGTATATCGCCGCCGGGCACTAACTATAAAAGAAAATATGTAATATATAGAAATAAAAGCAGAGAAAGCTAAAGTATTTACCATTGTTATGTTGTTGCCATTGAGCAGAATTTGGTCTAGTTTAGTGATACGCCTTCCTTCTGACGTGTTTTCGTATTCTGTCACATCATCCAATAACATATTTACGAAATCATCGAATCCCAATAACGTACCCACCATCTCTTTATCGTTCTTCATTATAATGTGAATCCGAGATCCAATACATTTGTCCACAAGTTCTGCATAAGCAGTTAAAATTAGTTGGGGTTGCTACGATTTGTTAAACGTAATATGAGATACTAACCAAGTGGTAATAAAGTTGATACATTTGAAGGTGGTGGTACGGCAGTCATATTTCACTTATTTTATTTATTAAATAAATTCTACCAAATTGCTGGCGAAAACTGAAAGAAAAATTTGTGTCCTATCAGCTGTAACAGTTGTCACATTTTATGCCGGTAGCGTAGGCTTGCCTACTCAAATTCAGACATTTAAAGTTTTTTGTTTCCGAATGAGAGTAATCGGTTAACGATTAAATTGTAAAGGGATAATTTAATAGATTTTTGGTATTAAAACTTTTTAGCATATTTAAAATGTTGCGCTTATTTCATTCAAATACTATTTTTTTTTTAAATTATTATTGAATAAATGGATTTAGCATAAACAGCTGCTTATCGATTGCTTTGTTTATTGTTCTCACACCGATACATATCGCCTGCACATAGGCTAAGATTTTTCAATTGCAACATGTGCGCCATAAAATCAGTTGTTCAAATGTATTGTAATCAGAATACAAACATTCATACAGACAAAATTGAAATGCATATAATGTATGTATATGCGTTTGTATACATATATTACCGTTATAGATGGGGGCACTTCCGCTCACTGATTTCCATTATTGATGATGTAAATATATGTACATGTACTAATAACTGAATATTGAGGTGGTTGCTTTAAACCAAACATAATGTGATATGAATTCAACGACAAACATAAATAAGTATGTAAATATGATTTAACCTGTATGTCTGTAGGTGGCATGACATTACCAATTTCGCCTTTTTATGGTTAAAAGTAACACAGTATAGTCTACGACTTCGGCTTGCGCAGAACAACGAGCGGAATACACAATAAAAACTGTGTTAAAATAAGAAAAAATCTATGAGCATTTTTAATAATATTGGAAATATTTATCAAAAGCTAAATTAACTATAGTGAAAAAATTGTAAAAAGGGGAAAACGGAAAATATTAACATTTACATGTTGAATGAGTAAACCCAGTAAAGCGTGAAGAGTTTTTGTTTCTCATTGCTACTGACTTGTACATTTTTGTACGTTGTGCGGGTGGATACAAACAAAAATATGTATACATATTTATATACAATTAAATTACTTCAATACCAATTATATAATATTAGTGACGCGACCTAAATAAAGTATACAAAAAATACCCGAAATTTAATTGGATATATCCTAATGTGTTTTACCACAAGCGCAAGTACTAATCAATAGCATATAGCCATACATATGTATATAGTGTGTATCCAGGAATATATGCGATGTACAGTTCATAGCTTAGCCAAAGCGAAATTTTTGTACACAAAATGGGAATAAATGCATATGTAGCGGTTATATAGCCGATTGAAGTGCATTTGCCAAATTTTAACCCATTTAGAATAAAGTAAAGAATTCTTAATTGAATGGGAGTATGGCCACGATCAATGCAAATCCTATCAGTAGCAGTTGCCAAAGTATCACCTCGGCTGGCGGCCCGAGTGCTGGCAGTTTGGGTACGATTGTTATTGGCAGCGCGACACCAGCCCAACAACGTTCAACAAGCCACTATGTCAACGGTACTGGCAGTTTGGGTCGTCTTAAGTATCACAATAAACACAAGAGTCTGGATGCCAGTGATGAGGAGCTCGATTATTCGCAGGTTTGTATGCTAAAAGCGTATCACGTTCATTCTTTTCAATTATACACATATTTACATACACTTGTGCTCACATAATTAAGTCACGACAGTAACAGGACGAAAGTTTATGCAAAGCAACTTCTATTTTACAAAAAAAGGAAGAAATTTTAATTCAGTTCAAAACAGAATACTTATTTTTTATTTAACTTCTAAAATAATAAAAATATTGCGTTCGTTCGCTTAGCCCATCCATGTTGTTGTGCTCATATAATTAAGTCACCTAAAGAAAAATGTAGTTATTCGAAGTATACTACATTTTTTTGCAGTTTTACCTTACCTAAGACTAATACTTAATTAACCTTTACCCTAACCTTTATTACGTAGCACCTCAGTACATCGCTTAGGCATTGTTTAGACTAAAGTAGTACATTGAGCGGGACTTATTTTGTACCACTTTGCCTGTATTATTTCCCATAAAGAATCTTTGTTGCGAGGTTTTCGTGCAGCTACGGCTCTTTTTATAATCCCCCATAGGTTTTCTAGGGGGCTTAGGTCCGGACTTTGATAGACTACGTATCCAAGTTTTAACGACCCGCGAGCAGTGTTTTGGGTGGTTATCGTGCTGGAAAATCCAAGCTAACGGTAAGTTGTCCACATAATCACCGTCTAAATTGTTCTCCAGTATTCCTTTGTACATTTCCCTGTCATTTTCCCGTCTATTTTAACAATCGGGCCAACGCCTGATGACGTGAAGCAACCCCACACCATCACCGATGAACCGCCATGTTTCACGGTTTTTTTTAGTGTATTTGGGATTGAGTTCTTGGAAAGGGGGTCGTCTTACATGTGGTTTCCCTTCATTACCAAATACATTAAATTTGGATTCGTCACTCCAAACTACCAAATTCCAAAATTTAGAGTCCTTACAGAGATGGTCCTTAGCAAACGCTTTTCGCTTTTCAATATTTTTTTTTGRAACGTTAGGTTTTCGTCTTGCTAAACGGCCATTCAATGAATTTTCTTGTAGTCGTCTTCGTACAGTTTGCGCAGATATTTGTACGCCGTGGTATTCCTCTAATTGAGCCCTAATTTCTGTGGAGGTTAAAAATCGATCAGAGTTAGCCTTACTAAGGCCCTGTCGTCAGAACGGGTGGTCTTTCTTGGCTTTGTACGCGGCAAATTTTCAAAAGTCCTATTTTTTTTATAAAATTGAATAGCGTTATTAATTTTGCCTCGAGAAAACCCTTAAACATCTACAACTTCGTCAATATTTTGATATTTTTGAAAACATTCCCATATGACCCTTCTTTCGCTTGAAGTTGTGCTTTTATTCTTGCCCATGACGACGATGACTACAAATTTTGTTAAAAATAACTTAATTTAGTAAAAAAGAACAATATTGATGTAAATTGTGGCGAAAAAATTTTAATTTACCCGTTTCAAACAGAATGACTTAATTATGTGAGCACAAATGTATATACCCATACAGGTCTAGTGCTTGAATATTCACGATTGAAGTAGCGGGGCGACACCCGTCTTGCAAAGTGCCTATTAGTAATCATAGTTATTTAATTAATTATGGGTGTATAGGCGCATGTAATTGAAAATAGTTATGTAGCCAACTGTGCCACAAATATTCTAATGATCATTCTAATCGACCGTTTTATTAAAATATTAGTTGATTCCAGTCGAAGAATAACTGGAGAAAATTATGCTTACATTATGAGGTTAGTAGTTACTTTTAGGTATTTTTTATGCAATATTATATATATATATAATAATTTGTATTACTTTCCGTGTTGCTGATGATGAATATATGTAAGTCATAAAGCAAAAATCGTATTGTCATCAAGAGTGAAAAGCTATGCACAAGTAAACATTTTTCAGTTGAATGGCTTTTCACTAGGGTTGTTTAGTATTGGAAAAGAGCCCTGCTGGAAAATAATATTAAAGACTTCCTCTTTCAGTTATAAAATTCTCTTTTTATATTTTACTTATTTAATAAGAACTGATGAGTGAATCAAATGAAAAAAGTTCAAAAAATGTCCAAAACATCCATTTGCACATCTAATCAGATGCTGCACACTTCTGATCAAAATAGACTCCTCAACCATGTCAAGGCTAATATGAGCATACACGACACACAAGTGCGTTCGATCGGTATGTGTTCACATGCGATTTACTCGTGTATGGGCTTGTGCGCGTACCGATCCATGTTCGCGAAAATGTTTGATTTTTTACGATCGGTGCGCGCTCATGTGCGTCCGTGTATGGGCCCTTTAAAGCAATTCCCCACACATTTTTTGTAAACCTTTTTGATAATTTCGACGTCATATTTATAAATCCATGCTTTTGATGAGTTTAAATTCCACTCTGTTGCGACCTCCTTTAAATTAAGATATTTTCATATGAGATTAGTAATGACCCAAAATATTAACCAAAATCTCTGCTATCTCTGTAATGCCAACACGACGATTTCCAAGCACTGTTTCTTTAAATTTTTCGATGTTATTGTCATTAACACTAGATACACCAGACCAGTCAAAATGACTGTTTTCGGTATTTCGATTTAAAATTCCTATTAGGAGTAATAATTTTTTTTTTCGTAATGATGTCATGACTTTTCTAGTTATAACTAAAGAATTAATTTTATAAAGTTTGTTTTACTTTATATATGTATACTGTATGTATTTAAAAGTAAATAAAGACTTTAATCCCCATTAAACACTTCCTTTTTAAGAACAGTCATTTTGACTGGTTTCGTATATTTCAATCGCTGATATATCTAGTGTTAACAGAGGTCGGTGGACTATCACGTGATATAGTACCATGATTTGTCGGTTAAAGAGAAGGTGCCGAACTTTTAAACAGTTCAAGAAGCTTTTTCATACAGATACTCAAAGTTATCCTCAACTCTGTCCTACACGAACTCTTTGGGAATAGAAAGAAAAGTATATAGTGTATCAGATACTTTTTTTAAATTTTGATAAGATGGTAATTTCAGAAAAAATATAGATTTATCTGTGGTTACATAAAATATAATTATAATTTTCAAATCTATTTGCCTTCAACTCATTAAAAGTTGAAGGTTTATGGCATCACTAATGAAAGTTTGTATGCACATACTTATGAATATACCTGTGGCTAAGTGCTATACAGTAACATATTTAAAAGATTCAGTTTGTGAAAAAATGCTCCCTAGTTGCATATAATTTATAAATACTCAACTATACATACAAAACATATAAATAAATATGTATTTATGTACATATGTAGTTACCAGGGGACGGCTTAGGAAAAGTTGTCATTAACTAACGAGAATTTTATGCGCTTAGAAATGGTGAGCAATGCCTCTGGGCGTGACAACATCCAAAAAGAAAATTATTTCAATGCGCATTCACATGATGTAGCCAGTATGCTAAATAAAGGTATGAGGCTGAATGTAAATGAGTGCGAGTATGATATTATACTGCGGCTTTTTGTTTATTAGAATTCTTGATGGACTTGTAACATGAAAAGTCTTGCCAGTTTTCTAGTTATTTATGGTAAAACAACGTTATATATTTCTCAATCCGTGAATGGTTTGGCTCTCAAATAATTTCTTTGTATTTACAACAAGAGAGTTCTACCAATTCATACTATTGAGAAAAGAACTCTGTGTTTTTTTGCATCTATCTTAGCGGAATAATTCGTTCTCAAACTGGCAAAATTAATCAAAATGGTCAGTGATTACCACTTATTTTGACTGACTAATAGATTCTGTAATCCAGACAAAAATTTCTCATCTTTGATCCCTAATTTCATTGCAAGAAGTCTCCATTACTATGGTACTCTTCAGATTCCCCTTGGGGACCGCATATGAGTCAGTGCATTTTTATGGGGGAGCAACATTTTTTCCCCAAATGGTATTGGCTTTTCCGCTTGAAACTCTTTCCAAGTGACCGATTTGTTCCTCTCCAGGTAGCCAATGGATATCATAGCTTCTGACTCCCAAAAAATTGTGGTTTTTGCCTTTTCGAACGACAGGGCTGTCCCAGCTTTTTTTGGAGAAAGTTCGCCGGATGAAAACCCCATTTTGTTCCCTAGTCTCTGTTGTGTACCAGTGGGTCCGAATTTCGTTGATTGTCACGCACAAACTCCTTCTAATTGCGTGACATCCATCGCGTCGAAGCGATTTCGATAATTCGTGAAAGCTATGATCCACGCCATCTTTAGATATGCCTATTGTCCCAGGAATTTCGCGTACCCTCAATCGTCGTTCAGTTAATACGAAATCGTAGACTTTTATCTTGCACGAACTATTAGCTGGCTTTGAGGACGTTCGTTACCGCCAAGATTCGTAAGTTTAGAAGATTTAATAAGTTGTTAATGAAAAATATTTGTTTGATAACGTAAAATTTTGCTATAAAGTAGGTTAAGATTGACTTTATTCAAGTTACGGTTTATTTATATTTCTTTTATTTAAATATAGTAAATTATTACGCCTAAAAACCTAAACTCTCTTCTCTCTTGCTCCGTTCTAGATGTCACAGTCAACGCATGTCATTGGACGTGTCAGATCGGAACGTTTTTTAGCAACGAAACCCGATGAAGATCGTCGTAGACGTACCATTATCATTGAAAAGAAGAATGACTCGTACGGCTTCACACTGCAGAGCTATGGCATTCATTATAAGAAGGATCAAGAAGTAGAAATGATCACTTATGTCGATTATGTGGAATATGATGGACCGGCTTATAAGGCCGGTATGCGTGAAGGTGATGTTATACTCTCGATAAACGGTAGTGATATGGAGAAAGCTGATCATAAGACAATTGTCGATTTTATAAAGAGCTGTGATACGCGCATGCGTATGGTTGTGCTTTTTGAAGACTGTGTGCGTAAGGTATGTATGAATTCATAATTTATTGTGGTAATATTTTGTTGTAATCGCTTTCTTGTCTCTCACAGGTGGATCTCCACATGCGCTATATACAATTACAAAACTTATTGCACAGCAAAATGAATGAACTGGAGCGAATTTGCCTGCGAGAACGTGAACTACTCGAAGGCAAGTGGAAGACACATAGCTTACCAGCGCGCAAAAAAGCCAGCACGTCACCGACTGACGCCGAAAGCCGTACATCGCCAACAGATGGTGAAAATTTGCCGTACTATCGACCGGCACTTTCCACCGAAGATGTTCCCAGCATGGCAAGATTTCAGTCGCAACAGCAGGCTATCATACCGCCACCAGCGCAATTTACACTCACCTATCATTACTTGGATCCGACCTATCGTTATGTAATGAAACCGGTCACATCCAATAGCAGCGGCGAGCATTTAGCTACCTCCAGCTGTGGTAATGAAGGCATACAGCGTAGTCCAAGTGATCAGCACTTTATTTTACGTCATACAGAATCGGTTGACACGGCCACAGGCTTGGCGAGTCTTTCCCATCGCAGCGTCTTGAGTCAAGCACAGAGCGGAGCCAGCGCACAAGCTCCAGTACCGCCACCGCGAACATGTGAAAAGCATAAGCCGCCAAATAAACAGCACTCAGTGGAACAACAGCATTACCAACAACAACAACAACAGCTGCAGCAGCAGCAACATCAACAAACCACAACGCCAGTTATGTCACAAAAGGCACACAAGTCCTCAAAGCATTGTTATGGCCATTCGTGTAATCCCTGTATCGGTCACTTTCGGTGGAAATCGGCAGAAAAAGCAGCGGCTACTGCTGCGGCTACAATGGGTGCTGCTGGCGGAATAACCATCGCAGGGGGCAATGGTAATGGCAATGGCGACAATATCAGTTTAGATGCCTATGATCTGGCAAGCCCGTGCTGTGATGCACATTGTGTGCCAACGCGACGTCGTACACGTCATAAGGAACATACACACAAGCATAAACATCGTGATCGCGAGCGTGATTCCAAGGAACATCCATCTAGACCTAAGTCGCAGACTTCACACACCTCGCCGGGTATCACGCGTCATCACATGCATCATCATCATCATCATACCCCACAAGAAATCCTGCAACAGCAGCCACAGCAACAACAACAGCAGCAACATCATCACCACCATCATCTTTCACCACAACAACATCAACAGCAACACCAACATCTTCAACAGTCACAGCCCCAGCCACGCGGTAATTGCGATTCTCAAAATGGCAGCATGCGCTCTCGTTATTATGATTTGACCACCGGTCTAATGAGCCACTGCAGTCTACATTCTTGTACATCGAGTGAATTCGCGCCAGCCGACTCTACTTCATATACCACATCGCTTAGTACGGACACCTTGTACTGGGATCCAAAGAGTGAGCATTCAGCATCTCGACAACACTCCACCAAATCTCGCCAGTCTTACCAACAATACCCGCAACAACATGCACAACAGTCGCAACAACAGCCGCATACACAACACCATCAACAGCCAACGGCGCACGTACACGGCGTCTATCAACAACGTTATCACATTACTGCCACACAAGTGCAACCTTCGCAAATCTATCCACAAGCCACATACGTGCAAAAGCCGAAGTCTTGGGATAATCTGACAACTAAAGCGGTGGGCGGTTACGGCTTTGGCTATGGCTACTTGGACACGGTGACCGTAAAACCCGCTATGAAACTACAAATCGCACAACAACGTCACTCCATACCACGTAAAAATCCCTACGGTCGCTACTCCACTTACACCGATGTAGAAAACTATGCGCCACCGCCATCCCAATTCGTCGAAGAACTTATTACGACAACGACTACAACGAAGATTATGGCTAAATCAACGGAAGAACTGATTGCAGCACCGGTGCCGCAAACAACGTGTGATTGTATGACGAAGCAACAACAACAAGCCCTCAAGGCGGCACAATATCAAATTAATCAGGCGGCAAAAGTTTCGCATCACAACAACTGTCAAATGGGCTACTATTCACATTTACCACGTCCGACATTGGACGCCGGCACTTCCACAGTGCAGACGACAACAACTGGTGTTTCGGGAGATGTGGCGACAGTATCCGAAGTGACACGATTGTAGGCCACGCTCGTTTAGACCAATCAAATAGGAAAGTGAAAGTTGGTCTAAATAAGAATTTTTTACGATGCAAAGGATGAGATAGTAGAAAGTGGAAAAGGGCAAACAAAAATTTAGTTAAGGTCGGCCAAGGCAAATTTAGAAGCTTATTGAAGACTTTCAGATGAAACTCTGGTGTTGTAGTTGAGTTCAGGACTACGGACTTAATATCGCCACAATTTTGTAGATACAAGCTATGTGGCTTAAATAAGATAATCTTAAGCACAATATATTGGTGTGACTGGCATTATTCAATTGGAGTTTTTTAATTCCGATAATAGGTCTGTAAAAGCTGGACTTAAAAATCATCGGCGTTTTATTTCTATTTGTTGCTTAACATCGCGCTTATATGGAATATAGATTAAAAATTTATGAAAGCTAAGTTACACAGAAGGAACCAAACAATTTTATACTTCAAACTGCTGCAAGTCTGTTGATAATCTGCGGCATAAGTGTGCTCTAAGGAATATACGATAGGAGCGCAATACAATGGAACTAAATAAATATATGAAATAAACGTGTAGAATCATTTCTAGGAACCCATACAAATTTGAAGAGGAAAAAAGTGCTAAAAATTTTTTATAACAAGGCAGTAATACATTAGTTCAGTTAATACTTAGTTAGGTTACGTTGAAATCCCAAATCATAGTTTTGAAAAAATATATATATATGGAAAATAGTCCTTTTTTTAAATTTTTTTTTGCCTTACTTGAGTGTCTATGAAGATAATGCCAAATTCCATTTCGTACAAAGTTCTCTGCATAAGTACTGAAGGAAATTTTTATTGAAGAAGGGTTTAAAAGAAAAGTAAACCGTACTTATGACTATGTTCATATATATGTATGCATAACCTTAGATATAAAACATTAATGAGACAAAGAAACTATAAAACGTACAGCCAAATATATTGACATAAATATTATATTGCACAATATACTGAAATTTTACTCATCCGTTACATACAACGATATTACAAGAAAACGAACCGTTACACGAGTCAAGTTTTAAGCATTTTTTAGCGAAACTCTCGAACAGATTTTAAAACGTAAAAAAAAAGACTCGAATAGTAAACAATGCAATAACAAATTTGTAGAAGTTTATATGTACTTATATGCATATTGTGTTTATGTATGCTTGTGTAGAGTAGAGCTGTGGGCAGTTTTTTAGGCCAACCGAAGTAATAATAATAATAATAGAGTTCCGAAACAATTACTTTAAAGTTCAAACAGCCAATTTAAAGATACAATGTATGCCAGCAACAAAACGATTTCGTTCATACAGTGAGGGAAAAAATAGTTTTTATAGTTTTTTTTTAATTACGGTAACTTAACTATAGTTATTGTATATACATACATATGTATTACGTATGAAATGTTACAACTAGTGCTCATATTTAACCAAAGATAAATAAAATTTTAACATAGAAGTTCAAGAGTAACTTTATAAGCCTGCACTAAACTGCGAATACGTTTCAGTAGTATTAACCAAAAATTTAAAATATATACAATTTATTTAATATTTTGCCCATAAATTATAGCTATTATCTTTTTTATTGAAGACTGAATTGCATGCCCATCTTTAGGTCTACTTAAAACTACTAAGTTTAAAATTTTTTTGTTGCAACAACTTTCTCAAGATTTTAACAGAATAATTAAAAGCAAATGTTTTTATTTGAATGAATTGTGATATTACATAGCACATACTGAAATATTATATACTTGTAAACTTTCTATGATTATGTGTCTATAGAGGCGAGATCTTCTTAATCTTATGTGTGAAGCAGCAATTTCTGCATTTAGTCTAACAATATAAGCACAAGAATATAATAATATTGAGGAATAAAAAAAATATATACACACACATACATATGTACGTTCATACATACAAAGTGTAAGTTATATTATATAATTGTGGCGCATACAACATAATACTTTGTATTTTTTAAGAGGGTGTGTGCCTGTAGGTATGAAGTACATACATTCATATATATACACATTAACTAATACCTACATATGTGTTTAAAATGAATAAATTGCAATTAAACTGTGTTAAATATAGGAAAAGTTTGATTTGTGTTCGGAAGCTTAATATCGCTAATATATATTTTTTCAAGTCATTTATTTACGAGTTGAAGAGGTAAGGAAAGTGTTATAAACCCAAAATAAATAAACTCTTGGAAAATTCATATTTCATTTGTAGCAATAACTAGGAAGAAGCCGTATAAAGGATTTCATCAACGACATTTTGGTCACGACCTATCGAGCCCCAAACCGTGGGGTTGACTTACCATAGACCTCTTTCTAAACCTCATATCCCTAATAAAATAAATGCAGATTTGACATCAACTCAATATATTAAATTTAGCCTTTTTGGAAGTAAAATGTGGAAATAAAACAAAATAAGTCTGTAATCTATGATATATTATAACTTAATTTGGTTGCAATCCATTGACGATATCGTCGAATAATGACGGTCGAACGCTTATATGGAACACCCTTTAAATAAAATGATCTACATGTCATCTTGTCTTTGTGAAGGTTATAGCGAAGATTATAGCTCCGGTACAACCGAAGTCAACTTTTTACTTGGTTTCCTTGATACTGATGTACACAAAAAGGTCATTGACTTTATAAAATGTAAACAAATGAGTTATTGACCTTGATAAAATTTAAACAAAAAATTAAACAAACGCCTCATCGACTTCATAAACCGTATCAAAAGGCGCATTGATACCAAAGGTTGTGAACTTTCCTACATGTGAACAAAAGGGTCACTAATCTCATAAAATGTATGCAAATAGCTCATTGACCTCTGAAAAATGTAAACAAAAAGGTTACTGATAATATGTATGCCAGCTCATAATATGTATACAAATGGGTCATCGACCCCAAATGTAAACAAAGGTTGTCGACTTTACTAAAAGTAAATGAAAGTTGTGAACTGTAAACAAAGGCGCCATTGGTCTCATGAAAAGTAATCAAATTAGCGTATATCTGTCATACAAACTGATCGATCAAAGTCAGGATAAAAATCGTCTAAAAGTCTTTATGTTATAAGAAATGGCCCTGTAAAAGGTATTGGAGCTTCGATGTAATTGTGGTAAAAGTTCTTTAGAGTTTAATATAATTTAATATTACTTTTACTGCACCAAAAGGTATTTTCCCTGCTTTGATTTTCACGAGTTGCAAGAGTATAAAAGTTCTGTTATACCTGAATTTAGCACTTTCTTATTTGTTTTAACTTGAAAACATTGTCAAAAAATGCCCTTTTTAAATCGCTGTCCTTCCGATTGGATTTTCAATTTTTTAAGTAAGCTTGGATGTAGTTAGGGTTATAAATATTAAGTAAAAAAAATGTTTTTGGCTTCAAGAGCCTGAGGCTAAAATTTAGCAAGCAGTCGACTATGTCGGGCCGCAGCGTTGCCCTCATGAATCCTTCAAGCATTATGAAAAAAAGTGAAATTTTTTTATGTCAAAGTTTAAGAATTAACTAATGAAATAGAAAAATTGCGCCAAGGTAGGTGCCTTTTCGCAATAAATATATAGCATAAGAATTCGCCAAGGAGCAGCGCAAGATAATTAATCCAGATCGGGAAGTATTCTTCAAGCCATTTGGTACTAAATCAAGGTTTAGACAAGTCAATCTCTTGTCATCTAATGCTAAAGACGCTCTTCAGGTTCGCTTGTTTACTATAAGAAAAAATGGTAAGACTTTGTTCATAATTTGAAAATTCTTAATTTATTTTTCAAAATATATGTCGTCCCCCTCAAAGTAATACCCCTTGGTTTCAATATACTTGTGCCAACGTTTTTTTCATTTCTCGATACAGTTGTTACAGTAAATTTTTGGAATAGCCCTTAATTAAACGATTCACGTTTAATGTCTTAAATTGACTCAAAATGGTTTCGCCGGAGCGGTCGTTTCAGTTTTCTAGAGATCACTCGGAGCTAAATCAGGTGAATACAGTGGATGCAGTACGATATTGGTTGATTGGGTCGTAAGCATAGCTTCAATAATAAAGCAGACGTTCACAGACGTTAACGCGACGCTATTTTTCGAAAAAATTAAGTGATTATAGAACCAAGTATGCTTTCACTTTTCTTAGGCCCAAATGATTTTTCGAAATGGTTTTCATTGATCTTCCGATTTTCCAAAAATGCCAGCAAGATCTCTGACTATTAATCATCGATTTTCAAGCACCAATTCTTTTATTTTATTGAAGTGTTGTCAGTTGATGCTGATGGCCGTCCTGGACGTGGTTCGTTGTCAACGCGTTCTCGTGCCCTCTTTGAATAATCTTTACCGATCAAAAACATTTGCTCGCAACAAGTACTTATCACCAAAGGCTTCTTCCAACATTCCGAATGTTCAGGCACGAGAAAATTCTTTCCGCACACAAAATAACGTTTATCGTAAAAATCACCGAATTCAATTCATGCCGTTCAGAAAGACAAGCATATATTTAGCAATAATGGTTATTTGGATGAAACATTTGACATATATGTCACTGACAGTCTTACCAACCTAGAAATTATATTTCAAGAATGGGTTTTCGCGCATAATTTAAATTAAAAAGTCCTATTAATTTTTTCCCACAGTAGTAAACTGCAAACGCCACTGTTCACAGATCTTAGTTTAAGGTACATTTATACAATTTACAGTATTTAGTACCACGATTGATACCGAAAACGTAAAAGATATTATTAATAGGAATAAGTAACTTAGAGGGCTGTTAGCAAAAAATTATTAAATCGTTGCAACACTTGCCCTCGTAAAAGAAATAATATTGAATTTATTTGCAAAATGAGTTATATTTTTATATTTTTTTTTAATATTATTATTTAACTATTAAATAAACTGTTGAAAAAGTAAATACAAGCAGTTTTCCTTTAAACACATTCGTCGTTTATTTTTGTAAAAGTGGAACTCTGAAAATATATTTCTATGACATTTGGTGAACCCTGTTGTAATTGTAATGGGGTGAGTAATAAACGATTTTGAAATATCTGCATTTACTTTGGGAAACGTAAGCTTAGTACAATACTCACTGCGAGCGATAAAGCAGCGCCCACTCAAAAACTAGGAAATTACCCTCAGCAACCAAATTGTTGGCGAAATGCTCAGCACTTCCTGCGCACAGTGCTCACTGCGCATGCGCATACTTATAGTTAGGTCGTTGTGGTGTGGACGGTGTGTAAAAAATCAATAAACCACCCTTCGTTAAAAATGTAAATCCGAAAAAGTTCAATATCGAAACAATACGTAGACGTAAGTGAGCACAATTTTAAATAGGAAAAAATCATCAAATAATTGCTAGTAAACTAGTTTTAAAGTAATGAAAACCAATTCATCATTTAGTGTAAACGTGTAGCCAATAAAAACGATAGAAATTTCATTCAAAATAACGATGAAAAGTTGATATATTGATGATGAAAAATTTGACAGGCCAAGTAGCTAGTCAGTGTGAAATAGTGAGTTACCAACAACAACAACAACAACAACAACAACAGTTACACAAGGAAGAAAAAGCGAACACCGAACGAAAGAGCACCGCAGAACCGGCAAATCCGCACATACGAACATATGTCAAAATTTGAACGGCAGCAGTACAAGCAAAAGCTGCGACTAAAAAGGCACACATTTCGAGTCCGAGTTCGAGGACGGGTCCGAGCCAGTAACGCGAAATTGGTCAGGCGAACGCGAGTAGAACGGCAGCAGGGCACAAGGGGAGTCGCCGTAAATCGACCATCGTTAAGCGCGACAAAACGCTATTCGTAGACTCACTAAAATGCCGCGAATGCCGATTTACTTCCAGTTTTGAATAAAACTCTGCGATTAGGTTTGGAAAAAATCCAAATTAATCGGGCAAATGCTATGAATTTATTGTTTGAAGCGATGCCTCGAAGTGTGCTCTCATCAACGGAATGGAACAACGGGCCGAAATTGTTTTACCGCAAAGCGAAGTAAAACATGTGGGTGTTTAATGTCGCTGTGATATCGTGACGTATGTGTGAACAATGGTCATTGCAAAAAAATTTTAATTATATATGTATCACGCCTAAAAGCACACTGCAGATTTGATATGCGAGCATGTGTAGGTGAGTCTGTCTGGCGTGCAGGACATGTAAGGACCTTAAACACAAGCAAAGCAGTGACAAGCGCGGCAAAGTGTGAAACAGCGAAGTCACGTTAAGTCAAAGTAATCCGAAAATAGCAGAATTCATGCGAAAAGACAACGACGACGAAAAGGCATTCAAGTGCAGAAGACGAATTGAATTCAAAGATAAATACGAAAACAGCAGCAGCAACAGCAGCAGAAACAGCAACAACAACAACTCGCCGCGGAGTGGCAACTGCTCAGCGGCAGCGGCGCTAAGGATAATGGCGAAGAGCAAAAAAACGACAACACAATGAGCTGCGGTTTCACAACAAGGTACAAACGTGTTTGGAAATGCTTCCGTATTAACTACAATACATACACACACATGCTTGGACATACGCGGCTTGTGGTTTGTGGAGTGCGAGTGTTTGTCTGTGAGCTTGTCGCGTGCACGCGCAGGACTCGTAGGCGCCAGCAACGGCACGGTGACTCTGTGCGTGGTTGCAGTGATCAAGTTTTGTGTTTGCCTGTGTTTAGAAGCGAAAAAAAGATTTGTGTAAATTTTCCATGAGTTTTAGCTGCTTTTTATTTTTAATCAACCCATCTTCGCATCCATTAATATTAAATAGCGATAATTACCTCGTTTAGTGCGTGCAGCATATTCGATTACTTTGTCAAAGGTCAATATGTCACTTCCACTCACATACGTATATGGCTATATGTGCATGTGTGATTTCTGTTTAGTTAAATTCGTTGAATGAAGCTCTGAAAATCAGTTCGTGTTGCAGGGGTAAATATGCATATTTCCACTACGATGCCTTCACGAGCTCGAATCGGAATCGCAGCAATGCCGTTATCGCCAGTAGAACGTGTGCCGATGCTAAATGCAGATGCGGAAGTAAAACAAGAAATTCGTATAGTTGTCCAATGAGTTGTGAGCGAGGTGCGTATGTGGAGAGTAGTTGCTTGAGTGGCTTTACGAAAATGTTGGCTGTCAAATCGTGTCAAAAGCAAATATTTATAAATGTTTAATAAATTAGGCTAGGTCAATAAGCATGGTAAGTTCATGAGAATGCGTGTGTGTCTTTACGTACATAAAACTACTTATGAGTAGTGAATAAAAGTGTTAATTGAATTGATTGCTAATGCAATATAAAAAATCGTAAAAAGGTAAAAGAAAATAAATACGAGTAATAAAGGGTTAAACAAGTGATGCAGATCACAATGAAAGGCGGAACTAACGACAAATAAACAAAAGTTCTAAAGTAACACAAGTAAAAAATCTAAATCATTAAATTAAGCAAAATACGCGTGTAGAGTGAGTGATCTAATTCCACATTAATACAAATTAAATCAGAAATATAGTCTAATATAATCTCTATATGTATAAAAAGAGATAATATATAAAATTTAAACACTTTATATATTTAGAAAGAATGTTTAAAAATCAACTATTTATGACGTTGTATGTACATACGTATGCAAATGAGCACATTGAGGTCCTTTTCAGCATCACAACCACAAAAAAACAGAATCACCGCCTTGGCACCTTAAAAGTAGGCCACTGCATTTGTATTTCCGCATACATAACTTTAAACGTACACAACTCTATAAATAATTTATATATAAATATGTTTGTGTGCGTGTATGTGAAAGTGTAAAAGCTTATTTACATATTATTTATACTCGAATATTCGTCGATGCACATATTCGGCAATCATCTAGCGTATCTTCAAAATTAAAATGAAAAGTACATACATATGTATACATCTGGATGCCATACAAAATAACCGATGAAAATCAAGTCAAGGAAAACTTTTTTTTACCAGATATCTTCACGAAATTTGACATCGATATTATCCTGGGCAAAGGGAAAATCTCGGGACATATTATTCAGATCGCTATAACATAAATCTGTTATACAAACAGACCGATCAAAATCAAAATAAAGATCTTTTTATAGCCTCTTATGCTAACTATAAGAAATACACCTGTTTGGGCGAAGTTATCGCCTTTTCCCTTTTTAATGAGACAATGATATTTTTTCATTATGGAATATTTTATTTTTTAGAGATTATTTTTTTTATACCTCGTCCTACTACCAGTAAGGTCGGGTATATTATTATAGTGTAGTATAACCGCAAACTCTTCATTTCGTATTCGCTGAATTGCGTCACTTAATTTCTATTATTGAATTAAATACCAGCTATAATTAAATCGAAAGCTAAAAACCTGTTACATTACTAAGGTAAGTGTGTGTGTATGAAATGTGTTAATTGCTGGCAGTTTTCGAATGCTGAGCAATTAAAAAAATGTATTCTTGGAAAAGAATTAATAGTGAATGAAAGTTTCTTACACCACTTACACACTCTGAAAAAGCAACGTTGAAATATTTATTTGCTTTAGAAATATATGGTAATCATCAACAGCGATTGTAACAATAAGTGAATGCACTTTTATAACTTCTGATCGCTTGTATGCAACATTAATTCTGTTGAGAGCCATGATTACCAAGCAGGTGTTCGGAAATCCATAAATAACTGTGGAAGTTGTATTCTGTCTAAAATCTAATCTAATTTAATTACCCTCATTATTAGTATTGAAATTTGAGCTTCACAATAGATTAATATTTCCCATGCTTCTTAAAGAACTAGGATATTATAGTTTTATACCGCCATCCATATGTAGTCATCGTGAATGTGTCTATTGAATGTCTGACTAATGCTTAAAGCTCGGTATTTTGTGTATTGATTTTTAATAAATCCAAATTCTTATTAAATTGCTTATCATTAAAATTTCTTAAAGTTTACCAAACCGTTTATGAATACCCCATTCCAACATCAAGTATCGTCATAAACGCGTGGATAGTTCATGGCCTAAACCAAAAGGACTATCTTAGTAGTGTTGGACAACGATGATCCTCTCTCTAGGGCTGAATAAGTGTATCGTGAAATATCTGAGCGGTCAGCAATCATTCGTACTATTTCGAGAACAAAATTATTAGGTTAGGTTTATGTTTAATTTTTTTATCTCAAAACTCTCGCAAACACCAGAAAAAAAGAAAGAATGATATAAGTAGATCTTTATATCAAATCGATATGATATTGAAATTCCGACTAAGATTTTAGAAAATAACCTGAAAACCTATAATTCTCTACTCCGCATACATAGCCGTAATAAAATCCTCTAGTCGCTAGCCGTTACCATAAAAGGAAATCTTCTGGCCGTTCTGTTCACGCCCACAAAACGCCATTAACGAAAGCATATAAAGTGCTTTAGCTTAGCACAGACTATGGATATATAGCAAAACTAGCGATCGCAGTAGCAAGGACCACCTGTGATAATAAGTTTAATGTACATATCCCCTAAACCACTAAGGCTAGAACAACGAAATTTTCTCAGCCCAAATATTATAAGAACCAAATAACAGTGTTAAAATAACCCCGGTTACCCCCCATATAACGGTCCTGTTCAAAACAACTAAAACGCAATAAATCTAATGACTAATTGCACCAGAGACATTAAATTTTACCTCCGAGATGGTATGAGAGGGCTTTATGGGAGCTGTTGTGAAAATTGGATGATAAGCGTGGCACCGCCCATATTTTGTTGATATCACACATCATTCATAATATCATATTAGGTACTTTGCATTTTTCTCATACCTGTATTCCTACGTCACAGTGCGAAAATGTGAGAAATCGGACTACAACCATGCCTGCAAATATCGATCAATGCGGGAGACATACAATTGAAATTCAGACAGAATCCTTTCCCGACAATAGTAAAGAATGGGTTGAATCGGGTCACCGCTTCCCTGAGACCCCACTTCCGGGTGACTTTTTGCTGGTTATATCGACCAATATTTTAGTTATCCCAATGAAAATTTCATAACATGTTTTAATCATAACAGTATATCATTGTACTTAAAAGAGATAAAATTGGGCGAAAACTTCACCTAGGTCCCATATAACTATTACCAAGGTTTTCAAACATCCACTTGACTTTGTTCCATATGATTGGTGATTATACGTAAGGTACCTTAATGAAACGCAGGAAACATTTTTTGAGTATGTGGATAAAATTGGGTCGATACTACCCCCCATTAACATTTACTACGTATAGTGATTTCCATTTTTATAACAAATCTTATGCCGAATATGTCGGTCAGTGTGTAAGTCATACATGTGTATATAAAATTGCTTGGATTCCGATCCTTTGGTTGACATTTTCCACCTTAAGGCATTCCCTGGCATTGTTCTTCAAAGTTGCCAAAGTATAAAATAGTTGGTTGCACCCGAAATTAGCATTCTTTACTTGTTTTGTTTTGCAAATGTTATGACTTCATTAGCAAATAAATAATGTAATATATTTATTGCGTGTCAAAAATTTTTGTATAGCGGTACATACATATATACATACATCCGAGTAATTCGCTCAAATAATTATAATAATTACCTTTAAGACAACCATTAAATGCGCACGATAAACATGGAAATTGTTTGTGTAATAAAATTATATACTATTAATGTATATAAAGGGCTTCTAAACTAACTCCCTAATATGTACATAAACATAATACTGAAAAAAACTTTCCTTTATTAGCACACAAATAAATTTCAATGTAGGTTAATTTCTCTTTATACCGTTATATGCATTTTATGCATATGTATTGTGTCAGTGTAAACTTGCATGTGACAAAAATTTCTCACTTTTCAATAATGAAAAGGCTGACACAACCACTATAAACAGTAACAAGTCCTTTCAACTCTTTCTGCTGTAGAGATTTTAATATATATGAGTATATTTAAGGATTTAATTCATTTGAGCGCGTAAAATTAACCTATTTTTGGATCGATGTGCGCAATATATAGATACCCATATGTACATATACACCGGTATGCATGTATAAACTGATATAGAAAGCTTCTTATCGAACTACGTGCATTATCCACAAATAATATAATTAATAACCTGAATAATGAATATGAACTCAATTAGAGCGTGTTTCTTAATTAAAAAAAAGTATACAAATAACAAATAAGGAACAAGTAAGTTCGGTTGGAACCGAATATTATATAACATACTCACATTATGCTAATAAAATATCTCAGATATTCAAAATTATATTCCGCTCAAGGTCAATTGTTGGGTCGAAAATCACTATACTATTGTGGCTAGGGAAAGGTCTTCCCTTACACCAGTTCACAAAAATGTGTCAATCGTAATTAAGATAATTGACAATAACGTATTTGGCATAAAATCACCTGGAATATCGATAAATATTATTTAGTATATATGTAGTATATGCGGGCTGTACTAATTCATGGAATGAAATGGAGTGAAAGACTTTGCCAAGTATATCTAAGATAATTCATTAGTTTAATTTTAGACATTAACCGAACTCAAACGGAAATTTAAAAATCACGTTTATAATTGCATTATTTCAGCCGTTTTCATACCGTATTAAGAAATGTCAGAAAGAAATGATGTGAACATTGCTTTGAAGTGATTGCGGATTGTCAAAAATAAATCTAATAAAGTGTAAGGACACACAACCGTTAAGAGAACAAAACTATTATACCCTATGAATCATTTTGCGAGAGTATAAAATATAAATTAGTCCATATTTTTGAGGAACAAAGTGTGGAAGAGTAGTTATCTAAAAATAAATGTTTTTCACGGATTTATGGAGCACCAACGTTGGTGGACTTTTTGAGTTTGTGTGCAATACATACATTTCCAAAGAATCGTCAACCAGGACCAAAAATTAAAATGTTAATAAAGATAAAATTTTTTTTTAATAAGATTTTACAAAGATGTTGAAATTTTTTGAATATAATGTTTTCATAACCTCTCTCTGGTATTTTCATGAAAAATTTGACCTGAAACCTGAAAACTTATTTGTTTTTACTTTGAGCTACTCTACAAGTATTTTTTCTCTTGAGTTATTTTATATGAATAACTTATGTTATGGTTGTACTTTTCCACAAAATCTCTTTATTAATACCAAATAAGAAGAGAAAAATGCAAAGAGGCCAAACAAAAATCGAATAACGGTAACATTTTTATTTTGCTTATTATCTATGATCTAATCGTACGTTGGCGACCAAAAACGTCATTTATTGCTATTACCTCACATTGAATGCAAACAGGTGCCTAAAAAAACACGATTAAAGCAAGTTAAGCATCCGTAATCAAAAATTTTTTTATTTCGATTTTCAAAATTTCGTAAGTTTGCGACCGTAAGTATTGATTTGTTTCTAAACAAGTACATATTTTAATTATTATTTTAATACGCACATATTTATATTTATTTATAAAAATGGGTAAAAAATGTGCTAAATCGCAAAAGGTCAAACATCAGGTGTACTTAGACAAAATCAAAAGCGATCCCGAAAAGATAAAAAATATCGTGAAAAAGCAGTTGAAAGAATGAGAAAACGCCGCTCAGAACTATCGAAATTGCCAAAAAACAACAAGCTGTTAAAAGAACGTGAGAGGTTGAAAATATACCGTCAMAAAAAAAAAATAATAAAATTACAGTAGACAAGGAGAAGAACATATTACTTATACTTGCAAACAAACATTGGGSAAAGACCTAAAGAAAGCTGAAAATGCATTGCCAAGAGACTTGGCAAAGAAAGCGGAAGTCATTGCTGCACTGCATAAAAAGTATATCGAACCAACAAATTGTAAAGAAAAAATACTCGTACATTTGAAAGTGACTTAGAATTGGAAACAAAATTAAAATTGGCGAAAGAAATTTGTTTGCGTGAAGATATCAGCGCTCAGGCTACAGGAAAAAGGGATACACTCATTGTTGATGGGAAAATTGGTGCTAAGCGTTTTATGCTTAGGAAGTTTACGAGGTTTATAAAAAAGATGCAATTGCGAAAAGCGTAAGTAAATCACGATTTTTCGAATGTCGTCCAAGAAATGTACAACTTTCGAGCAAAATGCCACACAACATGTATGTATGCATGCGTCACGCCAATTTCAGTTTTTTGTTAATGGGCTGTGCGACAGTTATAGAATGTTTTTCCGAAGGCTTCGAAACTTTCTTAAAATTAGTTTGTTGCAATATCGAAAATGAAAATTGTACGACAAACGATTGCGAAAAGTGTAAAAAAGATGTAAAAGATATTGTGCCGCTAAAACACTTGTCAAAAATGGACGCAAATGTTAAATGGCAGTACTGGAGGAAATTGGGCGATCGTGTAGTTTTGACTTACACTGTTGCTGCGTTATCGCACTTGCTCCATGAACTACAAGTTCAACTGCCAATTTTCAAGCAACATTTCATTGTAAAGTGAGTACAACAAAATTATTTTGAAAACGTAAGGAACTGTTATACTTGTCCTACAAATAGATTTTACGGAAAATTATAGGGTGGTGTGTCAAAATGAAATTCAAAGCGCACATTTCAACTATAGGCAAGTTTCCATTTTTACTTGCGTAGCTTGGATGTTTAATGAAACTAAGTCGTTTGCAGAAATTAGTGATAGTTTACATCACAGCAAAATCGATGTTCAAGTTTTCATAACGAAGCTTATTCAAGAGATAAAAAAACAGCATGGCAAATTTGAGAGTATTTTCGTTTTCTCGGACGGAAGTAGCAGTCAATTTAAAAATAAGTTTATTACTTGGAGTTTACCTGATTTACTGGCCGAATTTGGTTGTAAAAACTTGAGTGGAACTATTTTGCAACGTCATATGGTAAAGGTGCAATCGATGGCGTTGGAGCAGTTGTGAAAAGAAAAATCTGGCAATTACGAGAACAAAAAATGTCGTTTTAAACGATGCATTCTCTTTACTTTACTTTTTACGAAAATTAAGGAATAACCGAAAATGCAGGTATCAGAATGGTGCATTCGGTTTCCTACTACGAAAATCTTGAGCTACGAACTGCTCGTACGGTCTATTCAAAATATAACAATATTAAATACATATTTCTTGTGCTTTATATATGTTTATATCTTTTCAATCAATAAAAGTTTGCTTTATTTAATAAAGGGTTCCAAAATCCAAATAAAAACTTGATGGAAAAATCGTACGTTCGCGACCGTTACTCAACATTATAAATAAAAAACCAATGGAAAAATTTCAGCGTGCAATTAGTTAGGAGAAGTTACTTCATTCCAATTTAATATAAGTAATCCTTTTAGAATATTTAGCTCCATTTCGCTATTTTTTGCGTTTTTCTAGTTGCAGCCAAAATCAACTTCCTTTATTCGTACGTTCGCGCCCGCATGTTTCTTGTTAACATATTAAAAAATAAAAATCGAAAGATCCTACTTTTTGCACTAAGGAAAGACCTAGCAAAATCCTATCGAAACATAAAACAAAAATTAAGACAAATTTATGTTTTCCTTGTTTTTTAAAATTTAAATGCGTGCGAACGTACGGTTCGCGACCGTTGGAAATGTACATATGTAACTAGTAGTTTGGTCGACGATAATACTATATAATATATAATAAGAAAATTTTGAAAGCCTTGCTATTTGCACAAAAACCGTTAAACTAACTGGGCAAGCGAATGAAAGGCAGATGTAGACAATGACTTAAGATGTGGTAGACTGCAGAACAGTAGACAAGGACGCCGCTCAAAATTTAAGCAATTCAGCAGACTAAATGATGATTTTATTTATAGCCTGTTGCAGGTTAAAGCGCCGTAGTTTTATTTCAGAGGGTAGCCAATTGTATATCTGTATAGTATATGCAGAGCACAGGTTGAAAAAGCACTTAAACAAATCCAGCAGCATATATGTATACACACACGTGCATAAAAAGTACCTGCAAATAGTTCAAAAATATAAAGAGGTGAACCAAATATACATTTGGAAATAAATAAGTTAGATATTTATATGAATATGTATGTGGGGGAGTAGCTTTTGAAAAATGCTGCATAGTTTGAGGCGCGCCCGCTGGTTTGAAATGCGATGTAACGAACATGTTGATGAGCAGCAAGTGCGAATATGAGTTTTTCGATTCGCCAACTATTCAGCGATCTCTCGCTGCTCGTTAGACTACATTTATTCTGACTCTTGCTATATATGCACCCAGTGATATGCTATATACCTATATGGGTTTTTATTTATTTTTTGGTGTTTTTTTCTTCATTTGATTCACTACTTTGAGCAGCTTCCCACTATAGAAATAGAAAAATACTCTATGAAGTTTATTTAGGGTTGGAGGCATGCTCTATGCGTCGGCGACGAGAACGATGGCGGAGCATTCGTCTGGGTTTGTCGACATTTGCTGTTTGTTGTTCTAAAGCAATTGAAAGGCAGTAAGCAAATACTTGTACAAATACTTATATGTATATGTATATGCATATATGTATAAGTATGATTGTGCAGGTTAATGAATTGATGAGATGTTCCCAGTGAATGATAAATGTAGTACGAGACGAGTGAATATTGTGCGTTTTGGAGTGTATCTACCACAATGTCAATTTGATTATACATATGTATTTATGTAATTCGTATATAAAATATTCACATACAAAATAAATAAATATATTAGAACTACGCTTATAGTATTTCCATAGGGGATATAACTAATAACAATTATAGGTAACTTTAAGCTATTAACTCTCTTATAGACTTTCTTTTTTTTACTTTTCTTTATTTACAATAATACCTTTCATAGGTGTATTCTTTAAAGCGTAAAATAGCGAGAAGGATCGTTATCTTGATATTGATTGGTCACTATGAAAGGCAGCTATATGCTATAGTTGTCCAATCTGAGCAATATTTTTGGAGATTGTATCGGTGACTTGAACAAGAATCTATGGCGGATTTCGTGAAGATATCTATTTAATTTTTTCATACAAAAACTTGATTTGATCAGTAATTTTGTAAGGCAGCTGCTAAAGTGCGCTGATTATGACAAATAATTAATAATAATTCTTGTGGTGAAAGAAACGTGTGCAAAATTTCAGATCGTTTGTTAAAATACTGAGGGATTAGTTCGCGTATGTGCAGGCGGACGAACTTCTTCGAAGTTTCTTTCTGGATGTTGCAAAACTTAGTGGCAAACCTAGTATAGGCTGTTCAGGTTAATATTGCAATTTAAGTCTAAACACTTATAAAACTCAATCAGTGAAATATGATATAATTTTTCACTAATCCTTTAAAACATGTATTTGATGCTGGGTGAAACTGTCTAAACTTTGGAAACTTGAGCCGCCCCTGTCAGTCTGTCAAACTGTCTACCAAATGCTGCATTATTTATACATAAAGATGCATTCATAGCCACTATTGTTATTGTTGTTACTATGTACACTTGTTGTACAAGCATCATTTACTACTATTTGTTATTGTTGTTGGAACTTTTTCAACGCATCTCTGCATATAGTTGTGATTATTGTTTGCCTGGTTTTGATTTTCTTCATTTCCTGCTCTCAAACCGTAGAAATTTAAGTATTGGAAATTAAACGCTTTAAAAGTTATCAAACCCAGGTATACAATATACAATATGTATAATAATTAAAACCTAATTTTCCTTTCAATTTAATCGAAAATGGTATGTATTTAAAAATTGAATATTCGCTAGTATATATTCTTCTTTAATCATGAAAATGATAGAAAAATCGAACTTTTCGAACTCTCTGGGGGTTGAAGGTGGGCGTGATCGCTACGCAGCATCTGGGTTAGCGCTTAATTTCTGGCCAACATCAAACAAGTTTTTCTAGTATAGATCATCTCTCGGCAGGTAATAGCAAATCTTTCAATGTGCTTATAATAATAAAATGTTATTAATTCTGATCCGTATTTAAAAATCATTATAACCTTTCAAAAATTTAAGAATCTTCATATTTAAAATTATTCGCTTAAAAAATATATGCAATAAAAACAACAATTGCTGACAACAAAAGTAGATAAGCTCCAAATTTAGCAGTTTTCGTTCAAAACCTCTACGCAAGTGCAGACTATTTCTTTGTGTTTTGAAATCAATGCATTTGAAAGCAGTAACCCTGCGGACGGCTGCGTATGACATCCATGGCGTATACGTAATTTTTTCATTCTCATAGGCAGCTAAAAGAGCGCAACCGACACATACATTTTGAAAATGTTACAATGTACCAGCTTTGGTTTAACCCATTTCATATTTAACTGTTTTGTTTGTGTGCAAAGGCTTTTTATTTTTTGAATTTTTTAGTTGGCTACTAATATTTTCTCACCCGTTTCTCGCCTCATTGCATATGACGCGTTACGCGCTGTTCGCACTTGAGTTAATATTAACACATGCACAGTCTCCTGTTACATATGGAATTTAATGTCTGACATGACTGTGTGTATATGTGTGGGTTTGGTATTACTTTCTCGCTCTTATTCCGTGCTTTCGCATTAGTAGTTTTTACAAAAGTATTTTTATGCTTTCTGCCTACTCTACATTTTATGTCTACAACTTTGTGTGGTTGTGTGTATTTGTATATGTATGGAATAGGTGCACTTGTATGTTGCTAAAATAAGTAAGTCAATAGTGGCCCCGTAGCACAATAACAAGGTGCTACAGTTTTGAGGGCTATAATGAGCGGCGTGCACTTAAATACAAACATACATGCAAAATGCAAATGGATCATTCCACATGCGTTAGGCGACCGCGATTTAAAGTGTTTGTGTAATTTAATTTACACATTTTATGAGGACCATAGGAGGCCTTCTTATTATATATCAGAAAACTTACATATTGTATTCTTTAGAGAATTAAGAAGAATGTTCAACCACTAAAATTTTAATTTATTTGTAAATGCGCTTGTTCCGTAGTACCTTACAGCAACCGCTGACATACAAACTGATCACTCAAGGTTGTATCGAAAATTTCTTTATTTTACAAGATATCGTCACGAAATTTGACACAAGTTATTATTGAAGATAACAGTATAATCTCCGGACAAATTGTTCAGATCGCACTAGTTTAGCATTTAGCTGCTATACAAACTGATCGGTCAAAATCAAGCTAGAGATCATTTTCTAACATTTTATGTTATAAAAATGCATCTGTGAAGGGTATTTAAACTTCGGTACTGTTTATAATTTTTTTTTTTGCAAAAATAGGTTTATATTACAAGATGTACTATGTGTAAAACCAAAAATTTTATATAAAATTTGTATTGGCATAAAATAAAAGACACATTTGGGGGAAGAAATTCTACTTTAAAATAAAAAAAAAATGAAAAATTTTTCTAATACAAAAATGTAAGCATTTGCTTTGAATATCATTTTTCTTGGAATCACTCACATTCTAATTTAAATACCAGTGCCTTAACTTGCAAAAATACTCGGACGTATTTTGTGCTTCTTCTCCGTTATGTACATTTTTGTTATTACGAAAATATTTACCACTACAAAGCAGTTATCGATGTATCCAACATAAAAAATAAAACAAAATCATCGAATACTTGTGATAAGTTACCCCAAAAGCCGATGCCTCATCTCCCCTTGGCACGTCAAGTGTGCCACTTAGTATATTCTACATTTAACCGCACTGTGCCTCTCGTGCCTTTGGCACCACTTTTACCGCTACAGCAGCACCTACGCCAAGTCGCCTTTCACTCGTGTACGAATATGTATGTAATTGATTCCCCTGGCAGCCTGTCATTGAGTGCAGATTTTTCATATTATCAATTTTTTCTATTTCCCATATTTTGTTGTCTTTCAAGTGCAATCAGATATGTAGCTAATAGTACACACGAGCACATACATAAGTATGTGCATATGTCTGAGCATAGTTGGCAAACACCTCGCTACATATGTATATGTGTATATGTGTGTGTGTGCATATTCATACAACAGCTGCTGTTAATGATGATGATCATATCGGACTAGTGTTGTTGCCGCCAAGTTTGGCGTCGATGATGCCTTCAGCAGCTTTTATTGAATCAAAAGATGATTCAGTTTATTTATTTGAAGCACTGACGTCTACCATGTTCACCGCACCGCGCCGCACCGCACGTGCTCGGCTTCTTAAAACTATTTTGCTTTGAACGATTTAATTGGCAATGTTTGAGAGTATTAGATACATTCAAGTGCTTAATCGCTTTTTCAATGTGAGTGCCACTCATAGATATCTGCTGCAGGCCCCCGCACACCCTGTGGATGGCCATCACTTTCGTAAGTATGCCACAGACATCGCCACTACAACCGCAATTCGCATTTCCCCATTCATTCGGTATGCCAGTATTTCATAGTTCAGTAGACAAATGTGAAAGAGCGCAATGAGTTTTTGATTTTGTACGGTGACGGCGATAATACAAAATAGAACTGAAACAATATTGTATTAAAAATGAAAAATTGTTTTTATCTTAAGCCTACCCCGCTTGCTTTTTATATGCTAACTATACCTTTCTTTTAAGAACCAATATCATTTCAATTAATCTCTACCTAAATTACTTGTACTCATTCATATTTTGTATTTTATTAAGTCCTGGCATTACATTTCAGCTCCTTAATATATTACACATAACACATTAGAAATTGAAACGGTATGGTGAAAATGGAATCCACAGAAGAACAGGATCGAAAGTTAGTATTGGAGTTTTGTCATTTGCTCGAAAAGTCTAAGCAACTCTTCAACGGACTCCGGTAAGCTAACTTATATACATTCGGTCAGTTAATTTGAATATTAATATTTAATTGTTTCTTCGCAGAGACCTGCCACAATATGGTCACAGGCAGTGGCAGGCATATTTTGGGCGCACATTTGATGTCTACACGAAATTATGGAAATTCCAACAACAGCATCGCATGGTATTGGACTCGAAATACGGACTGAAGCGTTGGCAAATAGGCGAAATTGCAAGCAAAATTGGACAGCTTTATTATCATTACTAGTAAGTAGCAACTTAGGGTGCATACTTAGAAGTCTCTATTAGTTTTTGCAAATTACACTTGGATCATTGTAAATTGGAATTTATTAGAAGAACGCTTAGATAAAAGATCAAAAGATGTGTTTGTAAATTAAGTAATTTACGTGACATTGCGAACATAGTGTGGTAATAGATGTGGATATTGAATGTTACAGAAATCCATTTATCCACAATTTTACGCACTAAAACTGCTAGAATGCATGAAAATCGTTTGTTTTATAATTTCTATACTTTCTATATATTTTTCGCACTTCCGATTATTACCCATAAGTTAGCCAAAATTATAGATACTGAGAATATATTTATATATTCAGTTTTATTTCTCTACATAATCATTAAAATTAAGAAAAAATATTATTTCCAAGAAATTTTAGAATAATACGTTTACTTACAAGGTGCGTTCCAAAGTAAACAGGACTTAAAAAAAAAGAACAAATGGCTTTTTCTGCAAAATCAATTATTTTATTCAAAATAGTGTCCTTCTGTTTCAATACCGCTTTTTGCTCTGTTCAAAAGCATGTCGAACGAGTGTTTCGGCTCGTTGGCCGGTATGGCCGCCAGTATGCCGGTGCAAGCCTTTTGAATGGCCTCTACGTCTCCTTTCATGGGCAAATGTAAATAGGGTTGATCCTAAACGTTGGATCTTAATTAAACTCTCGCATTTGCATAAGTTTTGATTGTTAACAAGCACTAGCCAGGTTCTCTTTAGGTCCATAGGCTTAGCGCAAGCATTCAAAAGACATCGGAATAGCGACTATTTTCCAGTCGGATAAAAGGGTGAGGGTGACCTCACTCCGTCGATACTAGATTTGGGCGTACAGCCAGCGATCTCACAACCAGAATAGTCGCTCGGTTATCGGGGTAAATGTACACTTTTCCGAAGGAAGCTGCTGCTGCCTTGATGGCAACTACCTTCCATTAGAAGACGCTGCAGTGGTCTGGTAGCCTCAAGCTGGAATTGATGGAGAGCTTCCCATACAGGAATGTAGACTTTCTTCTCATTCTTCTTCTAGCCGAGTTAACAACAATTAATGTAGACTTTAGATCTTGAAAAAATGTTGAGGTATCGAAAGATTTTCGTACGATCGATTATTTTCTAGAAAACACATAAAGCTGAAGACACTAAAATGCGTTTGCTTTTAAAATTAACAGAAACAAGTTTTTATAACTAGGGAATTCTTTATACCGGTATCGAAATATTTATAAACAATCATTACTCTTTTATTTCCCAGCTTAAGAACCAGCGAAACGAACTACCTGAACGAAGCTTATCAATTTTATGCAGCTATTAGGGGTAGGGCTTATTACTCGCGAGCGATCAAAGAAGATCGGCCCGATTTAATGGTGAAGAAGTTGCGCTACTATGCGCGATTTATTGTTGTTTGTTTGCTGTTGAAGAAAATGAAGCTGGTTCGTGAGCTAGTGACGGAACTGGAAAAGCAAATACAGGAATACACGACAACGTAATTATGAATAAATGCAAATCATATCATATTTCATTGAACAATTGTCTAAGAATTTCAACCAAAAATCGATTTTCCATTGCAGTTACGAGCCAGAAGACCATTTAGAATGGTCATTAGTTTTAGAAGAGATCAAAGGTTTTATAAAAGCTGAAGCTGCAGTGGCTGTTCTTCATGCGGATTCCAATCCCATCATACTTTCACACAGGTGAGCCAAAACGCAAAATTAAACACGGACGCCGTGAAAACGCCGTCGCCCGCGCCCGTGCTTTCTGTGGGAGGAAATAGAATTTAATTAATACCTAAAAAAACTAACTTACTAACTAACTAAAAAAAGAGTAAAATAATACTGCGTGTTGAATTGTACATATTTATTTTGGGAGGTACTCTGGTTACATATTAATTTCGAACTTTAATATGATTTGGAAAAAAACAAAAACAAAAAAAGAAATATTCTTTAAAAATAAGTTATGTTTATGGTTATTAATAACATTTTGTTGTTTTAAGCGATACGATATTTATATATAGGTTATTGTGCTTATCACAGAAGACTTGAAACATCCGAAACAATCATATAACAACATCAAAGTCATGTATGCATACATTATTTTCATTCTCAATCGCCAGCACATTTCATGCATTCATTCATAATTACATAATTACAGCGCATAACTGTTTTATTTAGCCGAAACTTTCGAACTCGAAATGCGATTTTTATTTTGTTCTGCTTGTTTTATGGTTTTCACGAGTAAATTGCTTATGACATTGTTGTTGTTATAATTATTGTTGTTAAGTTAACTCCATCTCACCGATCAACGCGTCACTTGCACACACATTTCAGTCAGTTGATCAGTCAAATCACAACCTCACTTCACACTCCAGCAAATCCCTTCGCCACAATTTTCATATTCAGTGCGTGTCGTATAACAATCGGCACGCCCACTGCCCACTTCCACATACTCACCACCTTCCCACATACTCACACCATTTATAGCATCACATTCTCAATTCTTCTGTGAAAGCACGGGCCCACACTGCCGTCTCTTTAGAATAGCTTGACTTCACCAACTGATATTCAGTGGTTCCGGTTCTAGGTTGTCGCCGCTAACGACGCCACCATGTGAACGTTCGCCGCACATGACGTTGAGCCTGCAGGAGATACTCATTGTTGGCTCGGCGTGCGAACAGGCGAAGTTCTCTGAGTTAACAATGGACATGTTTAGGTAAAGTCAAATACAGTCTAATCTAAACGTTGTAAAGTTGAATATTTATTCTTTTTAATGTTGTAGAATGTTACAAACGCTCGAACGGGAACCAACGGAATCAACGCATCCGATGAGCATTACACATGGCATGCACGGGCACGATGCCAGCCCGGCTGCCAGCCGCATACCACCATATGGTGTTCCAGGTTCTAAGGGTTACTTAGAAAATGGCCGTCATTATAGAGACAATCCTCACAAATATTTACTATACAAGCCTTCTATTAGTCAACTTCTGGTGTTCTTAGCTAGTGGATTTAAAGAATTGCCTCCAGGAGGCGCATTACTCTTATATATGTCAGCTGATGGTTGTTTCTCGACTACAAAACATCCAGAGGACTGTAAGTAACAGAATCTTTAGTTCCTAATTATTATGATTAGACTTTTCTTATGTGAGAAAAAGTGTCTTACTGAAGTGGTTCTATTTGTCATGCAAGTAAAACTTTTTAGTGAGCAATCCGCCGAACATGTACTACATTTTAGAGACTACTTTCATTGTTGTTAAATAATATAATGTATTTAAAGAGGTTTCGGTGGTCATTGTGGTGAAAACTATCTCTTCTTTAAACTATATGGAAACGTCCCAGAGTTACCACACATTGCATATAAACTTCGACATCACTCTGAAGTCACTAGTTTGAAGTAGAACGGTCACAGAGAATACAGGATGGGACTTTCTGAAATACACAGAGGACCTAATGTTGGACAAAAGAAAAAAGATGTGTCTAAAATATTGGAATTGTGATTAGGGTTCGTTGCAATAAGCCGCGAGAATGAAAGAATATAAACTATCCTGATAGAAATTTTGACAAATTGAGTAGTAACCCTATTTTTTCGCTGTGCCATTCTATCAAAAGAATAATATATCGTAAAACCTGTACTGCTGAAATGTTAAATATTGTTTCAGTGACCATTGTTTTTATTAAATTTATAGATGGCTATGAATTGGGTGGCCTTGCTACGAGCGTCAAGCGTGATGGCGTCGAAGGAGGTGGCATAGCGTGCCGAGGGAAGTCCTACAAGGAGAATCATTGTTTATATCCCGGAGACTTGTATCCATTCACACGAAGACCAATGTTCATTATCATCGATTCGGATAATTCGTTTGTCTTTCAACACATCCCCCGGTACTTTGGCCAACCATTAGTTATATTAATGTCACCGCAGGATGTACCGCCCGCATTCCAAGGTGATCCAAATCATATATTCTACTTAAATATGTTACCCATGGTACTCATCACATAATTCCAATTACTTTTTTACAGCTGATGTCCAACATCATGGTTCACTGTTCACATTGTTCCTGCATTCTCCACTGACGGCGCTCTGCTACATCTGTAATGTCGGTGATGTGCCCATACATCATTGGGAGCGCTGCCAATCGCACGTAGACCGCTTCATAACAGAGGCTTCAAGACTTGTGACGCGCTGTCGCATCGATGAAATCGAACAGGGCATAGGTTTTATAGGTATGGCAATGTGACTTATTTCATTTGTGTGTAGGTAATAAGATTGTATGTGATTAACATTATTTGCACTGCAGACTCTTCTTACGTACAGTTCTTCGGTGATGACTTCTTACGTACGCTAATACTACGTTTCGTATTCTGTGACGTTGTACTGAGATTGCATCGTGGTTTTCGTGGACGTCATATGAGACCACGATGCGAACCACCATTGCCATCCAATGAGTTACTCGAGCATCCATCACTGTCGCATATTATATTCCAATTAGCGTCGGCGCTCGATGTGCGCGGCCATTTCTCCGACGGACCCGAATGCGACTGATGATTTTTTATTAATACTTGTAAAAATATCTATTATTTAAATTTACTTGTAAAACAAACAATAGTCATTAGTAGTACAGCAATAGCAAGACAAACAAGCAAGTTGGCAAAAGTTAACTCTGGCAATGGCAATATGATGAAGAGTGATTGTACGATTGCGAGTAGAAGGAATAAATTTAATTATTACGATATTTATTATAATAAAATAATTGTAATTTTCTATGAAATATATATAACTATTTACATTTATTTTTTTCTTAGTATCGGTTCCATAACGACTTTTTTACAACATACAACATACATACATAGGTGCATACAAGAAAGTTTGTAAAAAAAAATACAATTAATTACAAATGCAGTAATTGTAAAAAAAATAAAAATGGAAAAAATAAAAATAAATAATTTTATTTCTTTTCTCACAATTAATTATAATAAACTGTAGATATACTATATGGTTTATGACAGCTAACAAATTTTACAACTGAGCGAAATAAAAGAGGTATAATTATTGCGACAAATTAGTGCTAAACCAGAAAAATATTGCTGAGCTTCAATTGATGCAGAATATCATAAAAATAAAGTCTTGAAGACGTACTTACATGCATACATATAAAACTCCGTATGTATGTATAATGCTGAGAAAATATTGTAAAGTTAAAAGCCGAAATATATTTATAATAATATGGGCAGGGCAGAAAACTATCAAGAGTATACGCTTTGACAAAGAGGATATACAAACTACTACTTGCTGTGCCTAAATGGCTTGCAAATAAATTATTTATTATTTTTAAAAAGTAATCTATTTCTTTTTAATAATTTCCCTTTAAAAAGCTCCACCGATAAAATTAAGTTCAATCTGTTGTTAGGTCATATGTATGTGTATAATATTATTAAGTATTTGCTCTATTTATTGCGATTCCTGTTCAAATTATAAACTTTTAGAATTTATCCATCTTAAAAATGATTTCTTGATAAATATTTCTAAGAAATACGTAAATGTTTCATACTTTTTTACATTGGAATCCGAAGCATGAACAATCCAGCTTGTTCCAAACTTTGATCATCATTTCATTTAAAGTTATATAACTAATTTTGTTTTCGAATGGAATTGCAAAAAATACCTATTTTAATTTTGAAAAGTTTGTTAGAAAAAAATGTATATACGTAGAATTCAGGTCTACTTAATTAGTCCCAATTTATCCCAGCAATTCTTCATTAGCATTTTACTGAAACTTTAATAATAATAATAATAATATTTTTTTTTAGAACTTTGAATATATGTCTATGTTAAAATGTATTTTTAGTAATGAATTGTTTAGAATAATATATAAAATTAGTTTATATACTATACTGTCTTTTAAGTTGGATAAAACTGAACACCGAGTGATAAAATTTTACGCAAATCGGTGCAGTAGTTTTGCACTATGCCCCGGACAAAACCTGACCATGCATTTTTAGTTGAGATATAAAAAATCTTATCCTTTAAGAGTTGGATCAAATTGGACATAATGTGCTTAATTTACTAAATTCATGTAATTTTATTTTGGATATAAACTATCATATCTCTTAATTTGGATAAAAAGCCAGCATTCTAAACTTTACTAAATCCGGTTTAGTAGTTTAGAAGCTTACCCCGGACAAAATGTGACAACAAATTTTTACATATTCTAATCCATTCAAATTTGTAAAAAATCTACATTTGGGCTCATAAATTTGAATACTTACACGGCATTTTGTTCAATTATTGTGTTCTGCTCTTTTTTAGATATTAAACTTTAAGCCAGATTTCTTTGTACTTTTTCAACAACGGCAACCAAAGTCATTTGGGTACAGCAATCGCTGTTGTTGCGTCCCGGTATGAGTATAAAAGCTTTAAATATTAGGATGCCCACAGGCATCCAGTGCTGTTAGTTAAGATGAAGCTTTAAAATCTGCAATTCAGTTAAGTACTTACATATATCTATTATTCTCTACCTCTTATTTAACTAGTCTTTCTGCCAACCAAAAGCCAACTAAAATAAAAACAAACAAAACGTTCTTTATGCTCATGACTGGTCACACAAAACACAACAGTTGGACACCGATTTGCTAATTCATAAGTTGTATGCAAATACATGAAAAATGAAAACGCAGAAAAAAAATTTAATATAAAAACACAAATAAAATTTAAGTATTATAAAGAGAAGTAAATAGCCGGAAATACAGTTAAATTTAGCTCACTTTCTACATATACGCAAATGAAAAAATAAGCATTAAAAGTTATATTTAATACATAAAGAAAAAAACAAAAACTGAATAATAGTTACAAATAATTCGAAAAGAAAAAGAAAATCGTGCAAAAACGTACGAAGCAAACTGTATTTTTACTATTTGAGTAAACAAAAAACGCGGTAGGTTTGTGTGAATGGCTACACAGCAACAATATTCATTTGCAATATACATAATGCGCTAGGTATGTTGATGATAAATATTACAAATTAATATAAATACATGAATACATAAAAAATATACTCATTTTATAATATATTTTTGCGGGAAAAATTTTATACGATGCAATGAAACAAAAGTACATACATATATAAATACCATAACTATAACTTTAAATTACGATAAAATAGCATATACATACATACTTATAAATATATATACATACATAAATATAAATAATAAATTTATACTAATGAATTATGATATATAGTATACAAAATGAAGTGAAAGCAGCAAAGCAAATCAATAGCATTAAATAGGCTCATTTGCCTAAGCATATAGCGTGTGAGACGAACGAAGTTTATACATATATACACTCAAACATATATGTGACAACAAACAAAAGAGCAAAAGCATGTAATACTGGTGAAATGGCAAAATTACTGTAATATGTATTGACGGCATTATGCGACGATGATTATTACAGAAACTAAGAATTAAGAAAACAATAGCAAAAGTGTGGAAAATCGAACGAAAATGTTTGATATTTCTTAGGAAAATGAGATCACTGGGGGAGATAGCAAAAAATGTCTATACAAATTTGTTTCAACACAAACCTCTTCCTATGCTTTTTCGTAAATGCAATGTTTCCACAATGCGGCTGAGGTAGGCTGGTTTTTAAGCAATTTGAGGAGTCCAAAACTTTTAAGTAAACATTTGTTATAAAATATAACCCGCATTAAATCTTTGATATTGTTGTTTGAGCAATATTTATATTTAAATAATTTAATTTGCAAATTTATATGAGCATGTAATTTTTTTAAAACTACATAAATCTCCATAAGTGCATATTTTTCAAGACGAATTAACCCTCAGTCCATTGTAAGATGTGTATCTTGCTAAAAAATGTTTGACTAAAATTGCCAGCATATTTATACGATCATAGTTATTTACCTTATATAACTGTAGTGTACTGCAATAAATCTCGAGTTTCTATTAATTACGCTTTGTTAAATGACCATTATATACTATATACCGTTCGCGTGCAAAAAAAATTACAAGTCAAAATCCTAAGTAGTATATACAAAAATACATAAGTTGGTGGAATTTATAAAACCCAAAAGTACTTACGTAACCATGAAGTAACTTCCTTTCTCAAAAAAAACAAAAAAAAAAAAAAACAAATATTAAAAAAATCAGAAAAAACGCCCATAAGAGTTTCAATCTTGCCACCTACATTTGTTTAATCATTTTGAAAGTGAAAACGAAAACAAAATAAAACAAAACAATTATGTAATAACTTAAAGTAATATTAAAAAATATACATACATACAATATATATATATACATATATTAAATTTTGTAATTAACTGGTGGGTCATGCAGGGCAATCTGGTGGCGTTCATTGAATGAGAACTCGCTTGAGAGCCGGTAAAAATATTTAATAAATTCAGCAAATATACTAAACTGCGAGAGTATAAACAACAATTATGGCAGCAAAGCAAAAAATTTTATGAAATAAACAATATTCTGCATTTAATCAACTAATATATTGATATACAAACTCATTGCAAGCATTTACATAGGAGCAACAACTAAATACATACGTGTACTTTCAGCCAATACACACACACGCATACATACAAAAGAAGTCCAAGAAAGTTAGTTTCTAACAAATTGAGAATAAAATTTAAGCGCTTTCATCCATTTGTACCCCCCAAATCTGGTCAATGCATATATTAGTACAGTACATACAAACAAACAAACATACGTAGTAGCAAATTAGGAGTTCACTGCCGTAATATCCGGCCAAAGGCTACACTTATTCATATACTCCCACGCAAACGAACATAGATAATACATTCATACATATTACAATAATAGTCAGGTTTTGGCAAATAAAACAACAAAAATCCTTAATGCATTCAATGTCAAGTAGCCAAATGAACTCGAAATAACTGTATTAATTGAAGCTGTTATGCATAAACAATTACATGCATCATATACATACATACCACATAGTACATAGATGCGAAGTGCATGCATGCTAACATATACATACATATATACATACATATTCGTAAATGCACACTAGTACAGGTGCACCAATACAAAAGGCAACAACATCATCATTATCACGTTCATAATCATTAGCAAAACGAATTGGTAGTGGAAGGTGATTTCTTAAGGCAAATATAACAATAGTTGAAGGTAAGCATACATACCTGTATGTATGTATGTGAATCGAATTCAATGCTCGATTACTCGAGATATGACAACAACAAAATTGTAAACAATAATAATAAAATGTATAGAAGATGGAAATGATAAAAGGTAAATAGCATAGCAAATCAAATAAATAAAAAGTAATAACGAAATGGCAAATGCAAAACAGCAAAATATTATAAATACAATATAAAGAATAAAATAAAAAGCTGAAAATAAAGCACACGTTCGAAAATATGCATTTGAGTTTATATTTACCCTAATCGAACAAGGGCTGCGTATATTTTACCTTAATAATTTTGGATTCTACTTAATTCTATATATTATTTTATTTTTTATACCCATGCAGGTTTCAACAAAACAAACTTAATTAATTACGTATATTCTCCCTCCAAACGTTTTAAAAATAATACTATTATCATAAGTACAACATTCTTAGAGTTGACAAAGTATTCGGTTCATCAAACAGCAAGCGCTTTTTGTGCTGTTGGCAACCCTTATTTTTACAATAGCGAGAGAACGTACGCTCTCTTCAATAGTGTTGTAGCTGTCAAAACGACATTGCACTGATTTCAGTGATTTGTAGGCAGTCTTGTTTTTGTTGTTGTTTCATTTTGTGCTGTCATCTGTTGTTTTGACCACAGCGCTTACAGCAAGCGAAATAGAAACAGTGAAAGTCAAAACAAAATGATGAGTTTTTTGACGTGGCACACAAGTTTATTACTATCCGAATTTATTTTAATTTGTCTCTTAACATTCACTACGTCGAATGATGAAACTACACAGGAAATCCATAAACCATGGTATGAGAATCTGCCAGCGGTAGCCATGGACTATAAGGTGCACATTGACGCTGGTAAAGAGGATTGCTACTACCAATATGTGCAGGCGGGTGCCACATTCTATGTATCGTTCAGTGTAAGTTCGGAGTACGGCTGTTTGGCAGAAGCTCCAAATATTTGAATGTGTAGTAGTATTGATTTGTTTGGAAATTCGTAATATTTAGGTTGTACGCGGCGGTGATGGTATGGCCGGCTTTGCTGTGCGCAATCCGCAGAATCAAATTGTGAAGCCTTATCAGTGGCAGGCAACTGCTGATTATACAGACCAAGTATCGCCCGGTGGTTATTATTCCGTTTGCATTGATAATCAGTTCTCACGTTTTGCCGGCAAGTTGGTTAACATTTACATCACAGTCGTCAAATATGATGCGTGGGACAAATATGCCAAAGAAATTGAAGAGCTGCAACTAAATTTGCAGAATTTCACAGTAAGTAATGGAACTTATTGAACATTCTCTAAGAGGCTGGGAACATTGTTCTTTAAAACGACTTTTTGTTATTTATTTCAAAATATTTATTTTAGGTTACTCTTGGCACTGTTGAGCGTAACATCAACGACATGTTGAACTATCAGTCCTACAGCAGAAATCGTGAAGCACGTGATTTTGCATTACTCAATGATAATAACGGTTACATTCAAACTTTCTCCATCTGCCAAATTGCCGTCATTATTGTGGCATGTTCCATACAGGTGGGTCACGTTTACAATTTTCTTAATATTAAAAGAGTTAAATTATGTAATAAAATTTAATTACTTCTTAGGTCTTTTTCGTTCGGAAACTTTTCGATGTGAAATTGTCATCGAAATCACGAATTTAAATTTAGGTGACTTCCAACATCTAATTTTATTTGTTGCTACTCAAGCTGCTGAGCTACGAACAAATACAAGAAATTCTTTTTAATTTTAACGTATTTTTGTAACCAAACACAACCATTTTTGGACTAAGAAATTTCCATTTGCCGCTTATTTAATTTTCGATGAAAGGAGGAATTCAAAAGACTTAATTAAAGCATTCTTTGAAATCATATACTAATGTGCTCTTTTTGACAGTTTATCACATAAATGTTCATAAATATTTTTCAGCTTAACATGTATGTAAGTGAGAATGTGTGTATTTTTATAAAATAAAATAAGTTGTATGAAAAAGGGAAAGATATTTTTATGTTATTAACGGTTGTCATATCTAACATAATTTTGAAGAATTATGACGGAAACATCAGAAACAGCACAAAAAGAATTATTCAAATCAGTTTTCCAAAAGAAGCGAAAGAACACGCCTGAACTTTAATAAGGAACATTAAGAAAGGGACATAAAATCATGGATAACAGTACTTTGGAAGGATGAAACACAGGCGAGTCGCATTGGATCCGATGGCAAAAAATTTTTTCATCGCCCCACGTATCAGGCATATAACACCAGATACACCACTAAATCGTTAAGTACAGCGATATTATAGTCATTGGTAAGGATAGATGATACGATGGAAAAATATTCACACCTCAACATTCTCAAAAATACTATAGAACTATTCGAATCGATGCCTGTGAATAGAATTTTTACCCCACATTGTGATAAAAAGAACGAAGCTAAAAATGTGAAGATTGAATAGACGTCCTGGGCTAGCCAGCGTAAAGTCCCAAATGAAGCCCCATTGAAAATTTATGTAGCGATCSTAAGATTGCTAAGAAATTTTGAGGSAGAGCTCAAAGGCAGAAGTAGCGCTTTTTCAACAACAATGAAAAAAGGAAATGACTACGAGAATACAAATGGTTTTTGCCTTAGAAACCCTCAGCACTTGCGATAAGGATATACATATATCCGTCGATTCATATTCTYCTTCACGTACTCTGCACTTTGCCAGTCACAATTGCTAGCGCTGAACGATCCTTTTTTCCTTTGCGCCTAATCAAGACTTGGCTCAGAACAACGATGCTCCAGAAAAGATTAAACGGCTTAGAACTCCTCAATATAAACTAGGACATWACTGTGGAACCAGAARAAATAATAGAAAGATTTCGTAAAATGAGCAAACACCGTATTGATTTTATGCTGTAARTTACTCGTTGAAATATGTATAAAAAATAAAATTATAGTTTAAAGTTAAACATTTCTTAAATCAATAACGAAATCATATGCCCACCTCATATGCCCAGAAACCTCCCGAATTTACTTCTGAGGTCAACCGCACTCTTGTTAACTTAAAAAAAGCTAACTCTGTCGGCTTCATAGAATTTACCGCGAACACCTTCACCACTTTACCCATTACTATGGACATAATTGTTGGCGAACGCAAGGTAATCGTAAATGACCGCAACAGCTACGGCTCGCTTCATTCCTCCTGAAAGAATAGCGGAACTCCGTCTTAATTTTCCAGGCGAAGCAGCTGATTAAGCCAACTAGCGGGACACCTTACGTCATGCCGATCCCGGGGATCCCCGAATAAGGGATCTCAACTTGGAGACGGCAAATGGTAAACCAATATAAGCAGACAAAATGGATAGAGCACTTGAAGTTCTTTGGCCCCTATATCGGTGTGAGTAAGCTTTGGACTACTGTCAAGTGCGAGTGCTATTTGAGCCGGCCATTTACACTGCACCTTTCGGTAGACAAAGCAAAACGATGATTGGCCCTTGTGGAATTAACATGCTGATGCTAAAACAGCTTGCCTCGACGGGAGTAGGCTACCTCAAAAAAGTCCTCAACCTGCAGCTGACCACTTTTGAAAAAAGTGTGGAAAATCCCAGGTTCTACTGAAACCTGCAATACCTCCGAATATAGAAAAGTCCTATCGTCCGATAACTCTCCCCTCCCCAGGAATGAAGACACTTGAAGTCTTGCTACTCCCAATCTTCACTCACCACCTGAGCCTAGCAAACCACCAGCATGGCTTCCGAAAAGTGCACAGTACCACCACAGCACTTAGCGCCATAAACGCCGCGGTAGTTCGTGGATTTAACGAGAACCCACCTTGCGAGAGAACGATCCTCGTTGCGTTGGACTTGTCAACTGCCTTTAACACAGCCAATCACTCAAATTACTTCAGGATATCAAGTAAACTACGCTCCATCCAGGACTGAAGAGGTGGACCAGGAGCAACCTGAGCGGTCTTCAATCATTCGTACTATTTTGAGGGAAAACTCAAACCCGAAAAGAATTAAAAAAGGGGTTCCGCAGGGTGAGATCCTTCTTCTCTACTGTTTAACTTCTACATCTCGAAACTCCCGCAACCACCAGAATAAATTTCTATCACCTCATACGCCGATGATTACACGATATTGACCTCGGGCAAATGTAATGGATGGATGGATGTGCTCAAAGGTAAATTAATATTTTTCTGAAATTTCTCGCTTCCTCGCTGCACGGAACACTCTTCCCCATTAAATCCATAGCGACCATATCCACAAACTGAACGAAGGAGTACACACTTGACCTTTACATTGCAGTCGATAGCGTTAAGATTCCAAGTACAGAGCCGCAACAAAATCCTCCGCCGCTAGCCGACAGCACATAGGGAAAGGACAAAGAAACGTTGTTGGCACCTTTCAAGACAATCAACCGGTCAGTCCAGATGTAAAGAAACGCAGGCGAGGAGGCTTCTAAGTTGTTAGAACATTGACTCCGAACTTCGAGAAAATGCATATTGATGTCTGCATAGTGAGTCCAGCGTGCTTCCAGTTAAGGAACATAATGAACTCCTCTCCAAATATTTTTGTTTTAATTTATAGTTATAGTGTGCTGTGTCTTTTTGGCGGATTTTTTTCCAAATAAATTTTAAAAATGAAACTACAAAATGTACCGAAAATTTTTTAGAAAAAAATTTAATAAATTTCTATTTAATTAAACCTATTTTTTTTACCACTCCAATGATACCTTTTTGCTAATAAATGTTTAAAACAAAAATCCTCTTCCAAAATTTTTTGATTTTTCTATCAAATAACCATCGATTCAACAAGCCCTTAGTGCTCTCACCCAGAACTCCTTAATTTTTGTTGTTTTAGTGTTCCAAATCTTTATTTTATATTTATAAAATTTTGTTATTTTTCAGTTAGTTATTATATTTTAAATGAGAAGATGTGATCTCTATACTAGAGTAAATCACACTACTGTAGGCTTGGGGTCATAGACAATAAAATTTAAAGTTATAATTAAGTACAGTGTGTTTTAAAACTGTTATGAATAGTATTGAGTTTATTTTATAATATTCTATTTTCTTAAAAATCTTGGTCAGTTGCTATACATATGTACGAATATCTTTAAATAAATAATTAAAAATGCATTATAATTTTATATATACAAATTAAATGCATATTAAAAATAAATACGTCGATGAAGTTTAGCAAATTCACTCAAAATCATTTTGATGTATTAACAATTACGTGACAATTATCGCAGACACTGTAGAGCTTAAAATAATTACTGCAGAGCCCTTGCTTCCAGCTTCAACCCCCAAAGCCGGACGCGGGAGCATGCTGCGCGTAAAGTGCGTAAACTCCGCCCACCACGAAGAGATAAAAGCAGAAATAGTCGCTATGGAGTTCCATGCGTGAACGAGTGTGTGCGTGTTCGTGTATGTGTGTTGGTGCTCATCCGCTCGTTGGCTAGCAAGCGCATTTTGTTTGCTTATCAGCTTTGCGCGGCGCATGCGCTGCATTAACATTTAAACTAACCACATATTTTATGATATACATATGTATATACATGGGTACATCTATGTATGTTCAAGGTATGTGTAAATGTTAGAGGATGCAAGTTCAACCATTCGGTAAAGATATCTATGTGGAGGGTTAACATCCGTCGCATCCTTACAAGCATAAAATAACAACAACAACAGCAACAAAGTATTGTTACAAAACCTAGTAGGAATAGCAGCAACAACCGTGGTTTCTGGTTGCGATTATCTCGCTGATGGTAAGACCGCCTGTAGCAGCAGCTGCAGCAACGATGATGGCAACAACAGAGACGACACTGTCGAGCGCAGCGAAAAATGTAGGAGGAGTGTGCAAACCGCAAATGCCAGGACGATGGCACACAGTACACAAGTGCTAGTCTGTGTGTTGGAATACCAAGTGAGACGCCATCTTAAAGCGAAATGGATGATCTACTAAATGTAAGTATGTATGTAGATACAAGTACATACATATGTGTATGTGTATGCATTAATTACATATTCACAACATTTACATATATTATATATATACATACATGCATGTAAACAAAAACGCTGTGTGAACTGTCTGGTCCGGCCAGCTTTGCTTTGTGTTGCAGGATGCACGGCAGAAGTTGCAACAACAGCAAGCACGCCAACAACTTTAGATAAGCGTTTTGAGCGAAAACACACACACACAAAATATATTTAATATCATTTGAGAGTTAACTACAGCAAGAACAAAAGTAAAAGTATACAAATTGCGGCCACCGCGTCAAAAAAGAGCTGCGTAACCGCCGCTGCGGCCATACTAATGTAAATTACGTTATTTTGCGGTTAAATCTCGCCGCCCTTATGTGCGTGCCGCTTGCTGCAGCACAACAACTACCGAAGGAGTGTGAAACAGTAGGAGTTGCAGAAAAATCAACCACCCGAGCCACCGCCGCCGCCATCGCCAACGAAGCTGCAACCGCAGATGCAGCGACCACAAATCCTAACGGCGCTCCATATACTTACCGACAATATATTAATATAAAGAATTTACAAACCACACATAAAAATCACCAAGTACATGTATCCTCCGATGCGAGTATGTGTGCATGTGTGTGGGTGTGCGGGTGTGCGGCAAAGTGTTGCGCGCTCAACGCTGCTCACAAGGACGAGTTAGAGCAAATAAATAACTAATAGTGCATGGCAGTCGCATAGCGTTGCACGAACGGACAGTGCGCCAGTTAGTCAGTTACCGGTAGGCGGGCAGTTCAAAACAAATCATAGCAAATTTCAACACAAACACACACACATAAATACAATCGTTGAGAACTATCAAACGCACACACAAACGCCAAGTGAATGCCAATATATTTTCAAGCACACACAGATACTGGATGCCCAAGCTAACGGGAAAATGGTGTTATGGCAATAATGTGAGTGCTGCAAATAATAAATAACTGTTATAAGAAAAGACCGAAGAAGTTGTTGATCCTTTCATATGTCAATGCGGCCGGTAGGTGGATGCTCTTAAATCAAATTTGGCGGCTAGACTGTATTTTGGCATTTGTTAATCGAAGAAAAAAGCTGCTGCTTTAATTGTCGCGTATAAATATTTAGTGAAAACAACATTTTGAAATGCCGTCGCTTCGCTCTTGCTCTTACACATTCGATCTCGTTTGACTGACTTTTCTGATTTGCTCTGATCTGATTTCACGCTCTTTGTCATAATACAATTTCGGTTTCCTTCAGACGACGTTGTCCGATTTCGTGTGTTTGCATGAAACAAATGTCGTATTTACGGGAATAATTGATTTTGAACGCAAAACTATAACAACAATACAAGAAAATAAAAGAGATAAGATGTAAAGAAAATAAAAATGCTGCAACTGCATTTTTTGATAAACATTCGTGTATTGCGCCAACATATTAATTGGTTGTGAAATGATAAAAAATACAGTGTGCAACCAAATAAAGTAAATAGTAAAGAATTTAGATTTCCGTGCAAATAAAACTTTGCCGGCCTTGGCTTGCATTGCTGATAAATTCTCACTTCCGCTTTACAAAGCGTGTCATTTGGAAAATGGCGACGGCAAGCAAATTGTCGTGTTACGTATACGCGACGGTGAACGGCCTTGTACAATTGATTCTACATTTATATGCAATCTAACTACGATTTTATAAGAAAAATGTCGAAACTATTTAAGTAAATCGTTGATAGTGAATCTAGATATCAAAATAATATACAAAAGTTGAAAACATAACAAAATGTCCACAAATATTTTTGAAAAAAAAATGAAAAATAAAAAAATAATATTAGTATAAAATATTTAACAACTCTTAATAATATGTACTTGTATAGTTAAAACTATAAAAAATGTAAAAGTGCGTAGAACTTGAAAAATTTTAAATTTTATAGAAAGGGAGAAAACTTTTATTAGAAAACCACAGAGTCAACGTGTTTCTTTGTTAAATCGTTTCAGTAAATCACATCAATATAAGGTAAGTATAAAAATCATTTTACGAATTACAAATGCAACAAAAATAAAGAGTTTTATATCTTGAACGGGGTTTCCTCAGTTTGCTACGAAGTTTGTAACACCCAAAACAACCCTATAAAGTGTGTATATGACTGATTAGCATGCTGAGTTGACGTCCTTTGTGAAGGTGCAACCGTTGTTTCCTGTTTCAATGCAAATACATAAGTTTTAAAAACAAAATTTTCAAGTTGAGGGTGTTATAAAACCCAAGTTCTACTAACCACAAAAAAAATTTAAATGTTTCGAAATCACTTCTCAACTTTATATTCGTATCAAAAGATCTATTTGTGCTATAATAAATGAGAAATGCTATTAGTAAAAATTGACAAAAATTTAGCTCTCTTAGAATTATGGATGTTTTTTGGTGTTTTTTTTTTATTTAACTATTTTATCAAATAATGTCTAGTTAGTACCTATGCAGTGTGACTAAAGATTTACCTGATGCCAAATACTTAGGAGCTGTTGGGCACATGAAAAGTTGGAATCATTTCCACACTTCCAACCTGACAGTCTCACTTATACGAAATCTAACTTAGATTATTTTTTCCTTCGAAATCAATCGTTTGAGATGATTATTGATAAAATATTTACCATCCATCGACAAATGAAGGCTTATTACACGTTCAGGAATATTTTGAATTTACAAAGGATTTCGTGCTTATAACTATCAAATCGGTTTGACAAAAATAATTTATAAATAGGGGAACCTACGTCTTCGAATTGTGAAAAGATAAGTTTGGACTTCTGATTTTGAAATAAGGTAAATTGTTTTGTAATGTAAGAAAATAACAACGAATACCTACATACATATAAATACCTGTCGTATTCGGAGATATTAAAGCAAAATAAATAAACCTTCCACAAAGATGACAACATGACAATTAGCGTGATTATTTGGTAAAAGTAACGAATATTACTTTTGAACTCAACCTTTGGACTCTTGCATTTAAAATATATACTTTCAAATAGTGTTTTTGAAAGCTGACTAATGGCATCGAAAACAGTTGAATATTAATTCAGAAAAGTAGTGCTCATAACTGAGAATATTTTGAAATCATATAAACTAAGGTCAAAGCTCCATAAGAATAAAATAATACAAAAATAATAAACCTTGAATTGTCGGACAATCGTCTAAATGATACGTCTAATGCAGCGATACTAGAGAAAAATACTGATAACAGAAAGTGACGAGTGTGCTATGTGTGTGTAAGTTTTCTGAGGTTGCTCTAACTGTGAAAGTTCGACAATATTTGCATACTTAAATACGCAAATTTTTTGTTAATCAGACACAGTAAATATAGTAAAAACATTATTTGTCTAACAATGTTAAATATGTACATTAGAGCTAGTCCATTTTTTCTATAAAATCGCGTTTGAGGGAAATATTTTACGGAACAACAATGCCTAAGGGAGTATTGGTCTAAAACCGGTTTCGAGCTAGCGATTTTTTAAGTGAAGTGTAAAAAATCTGAATAATCGGTTGTAATTGAGATATGTGATATATGATCCGATCTGATTGATATCGAAAAATGATCATGATTCTTAAAATATATCCTTAACCCGCATACGTGATACGCATACCCTGAGAATCAGCGGGTTCTAATGTATGTATGTACATCTTCCGTATTTGTTTAAAAAATGGTTACAGGGTTCAAAAGTAAATGTCGGAGACCTTATAAAGTACATATGTATATACTTAAACGATCAGGACGACTATCTGAGTTGATTTAACCATGTTCGTCTCCTCGGCTGTCTGTTTATAAATACGCCAAGTGGGGTTTTAGGTTTTAAGAAACCGATCACAAAATTTTCTCACGTCCTGTCCTCCCTAAGAAGGTGCTCATTTGGCGGAAGTACCGATATTTAGAAAAATATTTTATTCGACAAGTTATATTTAAGAAATTCGAATAAATATGGCATCACTGTAGCATATTACTGTCATAAAAACTGACCAATCAAAGTCAATATACCATATATGTATGTAAATTTATTTTCTTTTACTAAGTAATATTTTTGATGAGTATCGTTGGCTGGTAACGTTTTTGGGTTTAGTTAACCCTTCTTCTTGTTATTAATAAAAAGGTTCAGGTACAAAAGTGGATTGATAATTACTTAAATACGAAAGGATTTAAAACACGAAAGTGGTTTGAAAGACCGTAAAAATAATCAAAATGGTTTGGAAATATCGTTCATGAAAATTGGGACAATTGAAAGCTCTATGCGACGTTTTTCTGCAACCCTCAAATGCTCCGGATGTAGATCTGGTTACTTTTCTATATTCTTAGATCTTGAGCAGTAGTTCTTTAAATGAAATCACCTGAGTCCTATTTCGAACCAATAGGCTGATCAAGGTTGACAAAGTAAGCGTTGCATTATTTTTAAGGAGGGTGTGTCCTGAAGCCTCAAAAACGATTTCTTGCATTTCTGCATTTAACATTTTCAATAAAGAAAATCTTCATAGATATTCGTTAACTTCAGTTGACAGACGCTAGTTGCAAAGGCAAAGTTGTATTTAAAACTAATATGTGTTTACTTGAACTCTATCGATTAAAATATCTGCAGCAGATAAAGTAATCGTAGAAAAATGAAAAAAAAACCTTCAATATCTTAAAACTTTTGAAAAGAATAACACAATTTGGGGAAAGTAGTTAACTAAGTTATAATATTGAATCTTTTTTCCTAAATAAGTTTCAATAACTAGAAAAATTCCATCGTCAATATTTCACAAAATTATATGGATACTCAATACTACAGAATAACCTCTCGAAAATTATTCACATAATTCACATTAATCTGATATGAATACAAATGATCTCGTAATTTGTTTATGCTACCACCACTTCTTGGCTCCTTGGCACACGTGTTCTTTTTAAGTGTCATAAAACTGAGATTACAAACCATTAAGGCGCTGCCATCGAAGCGTCGTTGTTAATTAAAAATAAAGTGCACAGATTAAATAGATGCTGCTATCGTGGGTTGTAAGGTTGTGCGTTTTCTAAAGTACGAAATGTCGGTTGGCCTTTCGTATGGCGAGGACTTGGCGGAAAAAAGTGATAATGATGTTGAAACATATTTTTTGCATTTATCGGGCCGCAACAAACACACCACCACAATCCACCGTCTTAGCAAACGCCCAAGCAGCCAGTGCTGATGCCTTGGTTCGCCGACATCTCGTTACGCAACACGCGCTAAGCCATCCGCCAGCAGCTTCCGGTGCGAACGGCGATAGTAGCCGAACACATTAGCTGCCGTATGACCGTTTTGCAGCGGCGGTATCGGCTACCCCTTACCTTCTCAAAACGCTTTCAATGCTTGCTGGTATTGGCTGATGATATATGCTCGTTTTAACTTTCCTTCGCGCACATACTCACATAAAAGAGTGAGGGGTGGAGTATGTGGGATGGCAAAGGCGTGTGTTGGCCGTTTATTATTATTATAATGTCAAATACTTCATTTTGCATAGAAAGTTTGTTGTTTTGTGGTTGTTGGTAAATATCAAATTTTTACTTTGTTGTTATGGCGTTATAAAGTTGTTATTGATAGGTTTATTGAAAATTGTGTTATCATTAGAGCTTTGGAGGTTGAATAGTCTATAAAATGTGTCATTTCCAACACATTGTATCTAAAGTTGCTCTAATTTTTTTCATAAAATAATAAAAAAACATGGAGTGTAGCTCTTTAATAGCTTTATGATGGGAATATGGAAAAGGTCTCAAAGAGCTGAAATAGTGGAATTTCAGTGGGACGACAACATTTTATATTCAAAGTTATTCAGGGGAAAGGTACATACAAGTATACTGCAATATTATTTGCCAGTTTGGTTAAGCTTTTACATTTAATTTTGAAAGACGCATAAATATTAGTGCCTCGCCAGAGAAGAGGAAGATTCAAAGCAGCTGAAAAAAATTTTACCAGGTCGATCAATTTTCCATTATAACGTTTGATCAAATTTGACCTGGACTGGTTCATTTAAACTGGACGCGAATCGAATAGGCAAAACTTTTTTTCCTAGATTGCTTCAATCTTGTTATGTTCACGGGAAGTTTGATCTTCATATGTCAATTAGTGTGTACTTGGCAATTGTTTGTATACACGAAAAGTGTGTTTAGCGATTTTTACCAAAAAAAGTTGAACAACGAGTTTGCTTTACATTTGATGTTTCCAATAGAATCGAGGTTAATAGGTCGGTAATAGGTAAAATGTTGCAGTCGATGTTGACTCTACCAAAAGAGCGGAATCTGGCACAAAAACTACGTCCAGTAGAAGTCGCAAAGATAAGCTTCACAACATTGGAGAAGGCCTTACATTCATCAAAGGCACTAATACTAGTGACGAGTCATGGGTTGATGAATAAATACAGAAGATACTGAAGGCCATCAATTTAAAAATTGGGCAACTTTATTATCATTAATAGTAAAAACGCAGAAATCAGCCAGCTTTGTTTGTTTTCATTTGAACAATGTTGCCATTGCTCAATACGCATATATAGTTTTGTACACATTTAAGTTTTCAATTACAATTTTTCATAATATGAAAACAAACTATTGAAAATATTTTATATATTTATAAGTAATAAATAAATAAATAAAACACCTTTTCTTCCTCCTATTGAATTACTCCTGATAACCGAAATGAAGAAATTCGAAGACTAATCTTTGATGTACAGAGGGACCGGGGGGAGTAAAAATGAATACAATTTTATGCTTCGTGTCTTTATATCTGAAGTAGCAAAGAAATTTTAAAAAGCTGTTTATCCCTTTAGTTCATGTTCAATTCCTAACCGAATGTTTAATAATATACAAAAAATATGGTATCGAATTTATTGAGTTAAAAAACAAATAAAACCAAAACAACTCACATGTACTCAATTTTTCATCTTACATAAACTTTCAGAAAATAGATAATTTCTAGTAAAAATCCATAATCCTTTATTAAACAAAGTACTTTGCACGAGCTTTGGCATACTTGTGACCAAATTCTGTATAAATTAATTTGGAATGCTATGTCATTATCGCTGTACCTCTTGGCAAAGCTTGTCAAGATTCGTTGGTGTTGATGTCCTAACTTTCCTTTGACGATTGACCACAAATTCTAAATCGGATTGAGATCACGACTTTGAGCTGGTCACTCCATCAATAAGAAGTTTAGTTCGGCAAGCCATTATTTGAAGATTTTGGATGCTTGTTTTGGATCGTTATCCTATAAAATATGACCTCGTCTTTATGACAAGAACTCCTGTCCACAAAATCGGGTATATGGTTTGCAAAATATGCAGACAGTCTTCTTTCCTCGTTATTACATAAAATTTTGTAGATGAAATATTGCGAATTTTCGGTATGTTTGAAGTTCTTCTTCTTCTTGATTGGCGTAGTCACTGCTTACGCGATTATAGCCGAGTTAACAACCGCGCGCCAGTCGTTTCTAATTTTCGCTACTTGGCGCCAATTAGATATTCCAAGTGAATACTTTGTTTGAAGTTACATGCACTTAAATGGGAGGGATTAAGATTTTAGGCATCGGACTGCTATTAGAAATTCAATTAGAAAAAGCTATAATTTCTGAAGCCTTCGCTTAACTGAATTTCATTAAAATCAACCAATATCTATATTTTGATTTAAGTTCTAATATATATTTTTGGCATATTTTACCCAGACCCTTATTAGCCAATTTTTAGAATAATGGCTTTGCTTACACATTTAGTTGGTGTATAAATTTGGGAGGCATAAATCAAGCTACTACCAACATCTGATGATATCTCGAGGACAAGCAAATTTGAATATGAACAACAGCAAAACATTGTAACAACAAATACATGAAATACATGGACAATCCCAAAACTCCTACTCGTAAATACCAGTGTACAAATACCATAATTTGTTGGCGAAATCTATTCATATAGGGAAGTCAAAACGGTAAGCCCTTCATGAAAAGCACACAGCGGATACAAGATACCCGTTGAACGCATTGCATCTGCTTTTGTCTCGAGTAATATGTGAGGTTATGTGAGTTTGTAAAGCCATTCAGAAGAGCAGCGTTCCCATTGATATTTGCGAGAGGTGCAGTAGAGCTGGGTGGTGGGTGGCTCGGTTACCAGCTGAAATAGAAATTTACGCTCAAATAGTTGCGCACGAAATATGAGGCACAATAACGTATTCATGTATGTATATAAATACATGTAAGTGAATATCCAAAGACCGTCATGCCCATTGTAAATAACTATCTATTGCAGTATTGTGTAAATTTAAATGGAATGATGTTGCTGAGCCACTTTGCAAATGTTATATTTGTGTGTTTGTATGCAAGGTGTATTTTCGTATATATACGAGTATCTATCGGGCTTTACAGCAAAGTGGACCCACCTCGCAAACAGGATAAAGCATTCACCTACGCATTATAGTTATGCCGTAAATTCGGCGTGCCCATAAATTATACGCATAATTTATGCAGCAATAACAATAACAATGCAGAATGTGTAACAACAACACATAGTAGTAGCGAAGAAACGAATAATTATTTTAGTGCAGCATGACAGCTGACAGTTAACGAAAATATGAGCCGTGAATGGTTACGACCTGCGTTGTGGAACAGGTAACACTACACGTAGAGTATAGGAGAGGTCAAACGTAGCCTGCAAGAAATAGCATTGGTTTAAAAATTTAAACTCTCTCTTTCCATGTATTTTTCAGTGTTACTTCTAATTTTAACTTTGTTCAATTTCATATATATAAGATTTACAGTATAATTAGTCATAGCTAGAATTACCCGATTTAGATAATGAAATTTTCATAGAAATCCTTGTATTTATTGGCAAATCATTCCGCATATACAGAAGCAGATTTTAGTCATTTAAAGTCAGAACCAAAAAAAAAAAATATATATCTCAACAAAGTTCCCGGAGGCTCCGGTGAGTCACTATCGATGCAAACTTGGGCACCTCTGGGCAATTGCTTACTTATTTTCCATTTACTGGCAGCAAAGATCAGAGTTTGGCCTAGGGGAGGAGCACAGGCTGATTCCTGTAAATCTTATAAAACACTTAATAAAACTTTCGTATACATCAATCCGCTCTTGGCCACCGGCTCTCTGCGATTCGGCCAATACTCTTTTCGCTTGACGTTGCCCTACTGACCCACTTTTTTCTCACCTGCAACTATAAGAAAGTTTCAGAGATGGAAAACCGGATCATGAATTTTTTCGCATATCAAGTCTTTCCTTTTCCATACTCAGATCCTGAGCGATGAAAACATAATAATAATTTCGAATGAGTACCATAGAATTATAATAAAATTGTTATTAAGAGATTTATATACAATGCTGAGTAAATATCGAAGAACAAATAAAAAAAAGTTCTGACCAGATTATGTTGAGCGCACCTCTTAATAGGGCTCCTTAACAAAGATTTTTCTCATCCTCTTATACTGTATATAACACATGCATATTATTTTACTAAAAACATATTTATTTCATTAAATCTAAGTATACATTTAGTTTATTTACTTTTTTCTGATAAATTCTTTATTTTCCACTTCTGTTTTTAGCAGGAAGCTCTCATATATCATATTACATTTGTAAAGGGCTTTCATCGCGTTAATAGACAATTTAAGGAAAGCAGTCCCAGACAATTGTTACTTGGCCCTGAAGGATGCTTATGCCATTTTTGTTAAGTTTGTTGGATGTTCTTCGACACAAATCGAGTTTTAAGCCAGATGAAATTTAGAAAAAGCCGTTTACTATTTTTCTCAGTTATTATAACTATTCCAGAGCTCTTAATTTTTCAGTAATCTTCTTTGCTATGGTGGCCATTGTAGWTACTCAAAACTCATTTTGAACTTTCTTTAGTGGGATATTAACACTTTCCTGGTGTTTAAAATAGGAGTTTTACATTCTTTTTTCTAAATAAATTATAAAATGGCGTTACGAGATTGCTATAAAACAGTCGAGAGCTCAAAGTTTGCTGCACTTATAAGTTTTCCTGTCAGCCTTTTATATATGTGTATATCTCTTATATATAATAATGCTACTATTTATAACCATGTATATCTCTCTAGTGGGAAGCCCATTTATCTCTACTAGATTTAATAGCTGCTACATAATTATATGCAAATATACCTTGGCCTTATTTACTATGGGGAAAATGACTGTTAATTATATCTGCAAAGGTGCCCGCAGTTATGAATAGTAGCGATACAGTTATGCATTTAAATGTGAAAATGTATGGGTAAGCGTATCTACTACACACACATGGCTGCCATTAATCAAATACAAGCACATTTGTAGTTTATCTATGCATCCATTCTCGCAGAATTGCAATACAGTGCAAGCGCTGGCAATTAAAGTTGCAATTTAAATTTCGCAATAATTGCAGTCATAATTTGAAATTCAGACAATTACGTATGAAAATTTATTCTTGAGAAATGTGTCAAAATATTTTTGTTGAGGTTAGAGCTCTTTCTAAAAATAAAGGAAACCATTTTTTTTTTACCTCGCTAGTAAAAAATAAAATTAATTCTTCGCTAACAATTTAAGTGCTCCCATGACGTATGAATGTGTGATGAGGTGAGCACTCTACTATAAAAGTTATAAACGTATTTAATCGGGTTCTTAAATGAAAAAAAAACTTCGAGTAAATGTTTGTTGATAGTAAATTTATAGGGGGATGACGAAATTCAAAAAAAGTGAGTGCGATCATATTAAAACTGACTTAAGCAGAAAATTTTCCGTGGATCAATTGATAATTTGTTCGAAATTCTTAGTCTTCTATTCTGAATTCTATCTGTTAAACAAGAGAACGGTGGATAAATTTACATTACTTGTTTTCACACAAACAAAAAAAAAAAAACAGGCTAACTCTGGTTGCACCGAAGCTATAATAACCTTCACAAATGAAGATGTTTTCAATACAAGGAATTGAATTTTATCGATCAGTTTTATAGGGTCCCCGACGTTTACTCTTATTCATACTAATCTTCGTGGTAAACTTGTTTAGGGTATGCAGCAATGTAATTTGGGAAAGATATTTTTTTGTCAACCCTTTAGCAGCTGTTATCTGTATCAGGTCTCTTCCTCCAACTATTTGTCTGTTCTCAAATCCATATATCATCACTCCAGCTGATGCTACTTTCTCTCTATTACCTAGACTCAAGTGGACAACAGGTGTTCCGCCACCAACTCAACATAACCCGCATCAACAACAGCTCGACCACGTCAACAACTTGCAGCAACATTGTCACTACGCGCGGCAATTAGCAAACGAGCATACATACGACACAGTCATGTATGAGAATTCCTGTTCATATCAAACTGCGCTGGACCTGAAGCGCGTCTCGCCGCCCATACTGGCACAGGTGAAGACCGAAGACTGCTTGACGCTCGGCCAGTGCTCACCTGATTGGTCCACATATCGCTTCCATCAGTCCACATTCGAGCAGCTGAAGCAAAGTGTTGAGAAAGCGAAGGCGGCATTGCAAGATCGTAGCAGCTTCTTCGGCGCTTCCAGTGCGTTTAGGTGAGAGACATAAAATAATAACAAAACAAAAAATATTCCGAATTTTTACCGTTAATATTTAGTGACATTTATTCAACGCAACGGCTCAGTGATACGCTTGGCGACACTTTGCCCAATGTGCAACCGACAAATGGCAGCAATTGCATCGGCATTGTGCACAACAGCGGCGGCATTAGTGGCAATTCGGTGGCGAGCGCGCCGAGTTTAGTGCTGAACGGCAATTGCATCACCACCGTCTCATCGGCCACCACGGGCCAACGCTATCGCTTAGATAACCTACAACCGGTGACCGGTTGTTCACCCGTTTCACAGCATGGCGTCATCAGCGGGAACAGTGTACCGCCACCGCTGACCACCGGTGCACACGAAACGGTCGGCGCGGTGGAGAGCAAGTCGAGAGGTAAGTGGTCAAGAAGACATGAAATTTTCAAAAAAAAAAAAATTAATAAAATAATCGTAAGGATATTTAATATCTTAGTTACTAAACACAGGATGTGCATTTCCTCAGTAGTAAAAGTAAAAGAAGAGCGAGTAAAACATTTCACTTAAGTATAATTTTAATATATGCAAATCCCCCGAATACTATATTTAACCGAAGGTAGTTACGAGGATTCACAGGATCATAACTTTCTAATTCAATTTCCACAAAAGTGGTGTTTTCTTAAATTTGTTGTTTTTGGCCAATAAACAGGCCACTCGAAGGTCGTACGTACACTGCTGCTGTCTGCCAAAATTGTAAAAACATCATTTTACTCGGTGCAACTTTTTTTGTCACATTTTTTGTGATGAATTTGTGCCAAACATGCAAACCGCGAATAACACGGACATTCCCCATTTAAAAAGCCTACAGCCACGAGCCACACAAATACCCACTCGACGTTGAACATCGTGTGACGGGTCTATTTGTGGCGCTGTACAAATTGCACCAACGAGTAAAAAATTAACTTCCAACAAAATCACTTAACTCGTTCGAGATATTAAAAACAACATTATAAAACAAAAAAAAAAAAATAAAGCAAAATCATAGAATGAGAGAGGTTATTTGTAGACATGTCCTCCTGCACATATGCACACAAACATGTTTACCTTCGCTCCATTCATGCCATGTGTTCTACGCGGTGGCAATAGAATGGTCACTTGGCCATGAGTCTTCGCGTACCTTATGGCTTGAGTTACAGGTTTCATCCGTTTTATATAACGACATCACATCGAGCCAACAGCTCCCATGTGTAGTGTGAGTCTCGGGCGTGACAGTTCGCGGTTTATCACCTACAATTGGCGTGGCCACTTTATTTTGCTATTTAAAAAATTCATATATTTTGGCAGCAAAAGGTTTATTCCCTCTTCTGCTGTTTTTTCATCTATTGCATTTGTAACACCATAAAATGTCTGAATTTCTACTATTACGTATTGTTATTGTAAACCTAAAAATAAATTTTAAGATTTGTCTTATCTCAATTCAGACTATCTTTCCGCTTGACATCAAAATTCTTGACATTAATCCATCTACATATTTAGCTGAGAAATGACCATTTCTTCCATGGCTTGGAAAGTTATTTTCATATACCTGCTTCACAACTAAGCGTTTTTTATTGTCCAGATATAGACTGGGGTTACACACGTAAACATTCATCTGCATATCATACACTTCATTTACGGATTGGATAAAAATATTTTTAATTAGCTAATTAGAGTCCCTTCATCGTCCTCTCCGCTACAAGGAACCGGTTTGAACGTCAAAGAAATACAACGACATCAGTGTCATTTCGAGAATTTGAAATCAGCATACAAGGCGCTTTCCAAATTAAACAGGTCTTAAAAAAATAACAGAGCGAATGGTTTTTTCGGCAAAATCAATTTATTTTATTCAAAATAGTGTCCTTCTGGATCATACTGGAAACACCACGTTTCGTCACCAGTCATATTGTAAAGGAAGTGTTTGTCCTCTTTGACCTCTTTAATGATGTCCTTCGAATATTGGATTCTGAGCAATTTTTGGTCACCAGTCAATTTGTATGAAACAAACAGTGCCCACACCTTTTAATTCCATGAATTTCAATGATGATAAAGATAGCAGATTATAACGCATCAGTCAACATTTGATTAAATTTTACTCAAACATATCAAAAAATGCATGTTGACGTATTTAATACAAAACCTTTTTTTATTGTTTTGAAAATAGGCTTCTGAGCCAATGCAAGCTTAGGCACTCACAATTTTCCATACACTTGCTATAAGCCTAGACTGAAATAGCATTCAGCGATCATAAATTCCCTAGAAGTTGTGTTTGCAAACAATTCAGGTTTTTTAATATGAGTCTAGCCCTTGACATACTCAAACGTTAACCAAAACGCATAAGAGATGCTGAGATTCTCTTCCACTTTTCTTATTCAAACACAATAACTATTTGATATTTGGAGATCAAACTTTACTTGAATAAAAATAAAAGTTGTTGTCATCACTCTTTTAAGTGATGTGTTCTAAGCCTGGCATTAAATATTTTTTATGTAGAGATGCGAAATTCATGTTATCGAAATGTTAAACTATTTAAACTCCTGTTGATCCTTAAAACGAATATATTTAAGTGATTACACAAATCATATTAGAAGAGTCAAATTGCAGCTCCATACTAGTGATTTCAGGCACTTTGTCAATCAACGTTTCACTCAGCCAACATTCTCTCAAGCTGTACATGAATTAAAATGTAAAAGGTATGAAAATCGTAGATTTCTTGCTTCAACCATTGTGTAGAAATTTCACAAAATTAAATGTTAAAGATATTTTTCTTTAGATTCGGATTTGTGTGAAACAAATATGAATCGTCTATTGAAATGACATCTCCTACAAAAATTCCCAACAAGGGCTATTAAATCATAATTAAAGCGTTTTATGTGACAAAAGAATGAAAGGAATTCTCGCAAGCAGTCAAGCAAAGATGGATGAGCTTTGATTTGAATAAATTGCTCGTAAATTCTTCAATGCATACCATTCTGAGTGGATAACGCAAAGCGTTTGCCGTTTGCTATGGCGGAATGTGTCTGACAAAACAGCTTCACGACGAGCGCTATGCGGCCACATAGCCAGTGATTTCCGTTTTCCCCTTCGAAGATGAGGTGTGCGGAGTTACCTCGGTGAAATACTTATATCTCGCTGCCCAAAAATTCTGTAGGGTCAAAGTGGAAGTGAGAAGTTATCAGCTTGGTAATAAATAATAAAAAATCGCTGTAATAAAAAATGTGACCGAAATTGTTAGTCGAAAACCAAAGTTATTTAGATGGCCAGCCGGTACTCTTTATATCACATACTTTTCCATAAGCTAAGTGGTGGCGTACACGCCCCGATGGCTTTACGGGCTTTCACTGGTCGTCTTTATTATGCTTTTACTTGGGTGATAGTAAATATTTCCTTACCGTTTCGTTTCTTATGATAATTTTTGCAAATTGTAAGGGTGGCGCGCTGGTCCAAGCCAATGTGCGCGTGGGTGGCTAGAGAAAAGGGTTCAGTCGCAATACGCACACATATAAACAACCACATGCACACAGCTTAAGGCTGGTGGCATTTTCATTTCGACCTTTTCTTTATGCCTCATATTTCGTTTGCTGCTCGGTTGCTGTTGTGTGGTCCTTTGATGGCGCACGGTACCTAAAGATGCCCCGAAGAAGTTTATATGCTGGAAAATAACAAAAGTTCACCCACAAAAGCGTAAAGTATAAATACATATAAGATACAGGGCATGGGCATAGATATATGTGCATATACAGCCATATATGCATGCGTTTAACCTCTGTGTTTCTTCCATATGCGTGGGTGTGTGGGGGCAGCACGCATTGTGCTCTGCTAGCGAATCCTTTCTGTGTACTTTTATGATCAGTATTATTACTGCTGTTGTTGTTTTTAGCATGCTTGTTGGCCTGGTTGTCGTTAAGCCAAAGTTATCTCATGCCACATTTTAAGCTTCCTAACAAGCGTGTTCTGTTGTGTGTGTGTTTGTGAAAAGTCTCTGTGTTCGTTGATGCGCTATGCTTGGCTTGCTTGAAAAGAATCTCTCATGCGTAACTCATTATTTTTCTTTCGCAGTGAAAATAATTGCAGAAATTGTGAAGATGGCATTTTTTCAGCTTTCTCTGTTTTTGCTGTTTTTGTTTCGTATGCAGCCACCCGCATTAAATACACATGTGCACACATACTATATAAACCTATGTATATGAACCGACCGCCTATAACTCGCATTGTCTGATTTATGTATTCTTGTACTCTCGGATATGTATTAAATATTCTTTAATCTGAAAAACTTATGAATATTTAATTGGGGTAGAGTAAACTAATAAATTAAGAAAATATTTTTCTATGATATATGAGAATTTGGGTTATAATTAACAAAGGGTAAATCAGTACTTTCTGGAATATCTTTCTGTAAAGAAAAACACTTTTTTTTGAATGAAAATATAACTTTATTCTTCGACATAATCTATATCTAGAGGAATTCCAGTTTTTTGATAAGGGTTCGATCTATCCTTCTCCTCTTTCACATGTAATCACAAAGGCTCAGTACTCTGATGAAATCCAGAAACGTGCTGGGTGTTATTGAAGTAATATAATATTCCAATATGCGAATCCAATAGCCTTAAACCTTGCTGTGCACTCCAGAATGAGATGATTAGGAGACTCTGATTCCATTTCACAAAACCAATAATTTTCATAAGAGTATATACCAGCACTCGACATACTCTTTTGAGCCTCCATTGCCCAATGTAAAATGCGACTAGTAGACGGAATTTGTCTCTTCCCTTATTATCTTTCCCTGCCTACTCTCTCCTCCTTACGGTTGGAGCGATGCAAGGTTCCGGTACCACCATCTTAGACATCTCAAAAAGAGGAGTAAGCTCATCAATCAATTCAATCCCGGCTGCTCCTTTATGACCCTTCAGCTACATGAGGTGCATTGCAGACCGAGACTCTGCTGACTATCGTTCGTTGGTGATTTATATCTACGCACTGACATATTGCAAAGACCTAAGCTTTAAATATGATTATTATTAAATATGAAGTTTAGTGAGCGATAATGTGATGCCTGTACCAATGACTTCCGAAGTTTTCCAGCTATTATTGTACTACCTAATAGTGCCTTTCCTCAATAATAGGTCGAGCGGTCGAGAGAGTTATTTCAATTCGTCTTACTGCCGAGGGTAACTATAAACTTTTTTGTGAAATTTACCATTTTGATAATGAGGTAAAACATTTAAAGGACATGTTTTGCCTGCGACGCTACGAGTAGTAACAGGCAGAAGCAAATAATTTTGTTTACCATTTCTGGCTATTTTTAAATAGAGAAATATTGAGGATATATTAGAGAATTTAATAGGCTTTGATTTAGCAAAACAGACATCTGAAGGAACCAAG